ATGGTCGCCTTTGCCGCCGAGGCACGACACAATCAGATTATCGGCGAATTGGGAGCAGAACATCAGGAGCAGCTCTGTGCAATGTACAATAGTGGGCTTGCAGAGGTGACCAAGTTGAGGAACGAATTAGGCAATGCTAACATTGCGTTGTCGATTCAGAGGTCTGAAATGGGTCAAGGTGAAGCTCGTTTCCAGCAAACCGAAACCGCGAGGGAACTCGCTGTCCTTGAAGCCAACCGGCAAGCGGAAGCTGCCCGTAGAGCTTTAGAGGAAGCCAACAGCAATGCCAGGCGCCTTCGCGAAGTGGAAACTTCTGCCCGTCAGAATGATGCGATGCGATCCCATGAGGTCGCTGACATGTCATCCCGAATGGATGAACTGATGAGGCAGCTTCACGCCCAGCGCCAGCAGACTGAGGTATTGATTCAGCAGAATAATGCATTAAGCTCCAGGGTTCGAGATTTCGAAGCTAGAGATGCTGCTTTGAGGATTCAAGAGGGAATTCCACAAGGGCCTCCACCTGGCATTCCCGTACATCCCATTTCCACCCCGAAGCATGGAGGTGACACTCCTACGGAACAGGCGACGGACGCCGGGAGGCGGACCCCTCCGGATGGCTCCAGCCCAGGTGGCGGTGGTGGCGGCGGGCCTGATGGCAATGGCCCCAGTGGAGGCGATGATGATCATGATCGTCGCAGTCGGAAGTCCAAGAAGGATAAGAAGCATAAGAAGAAGAAGTCGCGCAGGCGACGTAGGCGAGATCCTTCATCTTCCCCATCTAGCTCTGGCAGTAGCTCTGATGATTCGAGTTCCTCCTCATCCCGCATTGATAAGAAGACAATGAAGAAGCTCCTTAAGCGGATGAGTGAAGCTGTTGGTGATCGTGGTGAAAAGCCCGATAAAGACGACAAGCCCAAAGTGAAAGAAGCTGAGAAGATTACCTTCCCCAAGTTCCCGCAACCAGAGAGCTACAGGAACTGGAGGCTAAGGGTTCGTGAAGCGGTTGTTGCCGCATCCGATCGTCCTGATGATGCCTTTTCGTGGCTTTCCAAGGTTTGGGAGAAAGATGTTAAGGAAGAAGATCTTCACGACCCGGAAGGGTTCGTCACTTTGGATGCTAAGGTACTGTCGGCGGTCACTAACATCCTGGAAGGTGCCTTTGCGAGACAGGTCGATACCTTCAAGGAGCGAGAGGCGAATGCCGGGAGACTTGTTCGGGGACGACAAGTGCTTTTCAAGTTGGATAACTTCTTTTCTACCAACGCACAGCATGGTTCAGTTTACGAGTTCGAAGATCTCTTGTCAGTCAAGATGGTCAACGAGAAGCTTGAGACGTTCATGCACAACTGGGAAACTGTGTTGTCAGGGATCCAGACTACCCCCGATGAGAACTTCCTTGAGCCCTTGTTCCATAGGCAGATTAAGCGCTTCAAAGACCTCGCACATGATATCAACATCTATGAAAGGGCCACACCAGGGCAGCCAGAGAAGACCTACAAGTTTTTGTATGATGCGGCTACGAATTACTTGAGTCGCAAGCGTCTTGAACGCAACCGGGAACGGATTGCCAAGCAATATGGTGCTGATGGGAAACCATCCGCCCCCGCTCCCAAGAAGAAGTTCGTCCCTAAGGGATTTTGTTTTGAGTTCGTACAGAACGGTAAGTGTAGCAAAGGAGACAAGTGCAAGTACAAGCATGAGATCCCTGAGAAGAGAGGCCGGTCGCATTCAAGAGGTGGAGGCCGCGCTCAGTCACCGTCCGGCAATGACGGAAAACCCAGAGAATGCAAGTTCTGGAAGAGTGGGCGATGCAAGAAAGGAAGTGCATGCACGTTCCTCCACACAGGCAAGCCAAGCGCTGCTGCGGCGTCACAGGGCGGCTCTCAGGGGGGAAGACCAGGAAGCGCAGGCAGCAAAGGGAAAGAAAAGAAAGAGAAGAAGGGCCATCGCAAATCGCGGTCCAACTCGAAGGGCTCTCAGGGGTCGAAGAACTCTAAGGGCAGCAAGGGTTCGGACAAGCGAAAGGGTCCAAAATCACCAAAAGTTCCCGCTGCAGTCTGCATCCTAGGGGCATTGATCGCCCGGCATCGGGTACCCAAGCCGACGCTGCTTATGCATTCCGGAAGGATATGCCCGATAGTCGTGGTGACATGTCATCTACCTTTTCATGTGCGTTGCAAGCTATTCGTTTCGACGATAATCCGATGCTCATCAACATCCCACCTGACGGAAAGATGTTGCCGACCGAACCCGAGACACGAAGGTACTTGAAGTCCTTCGGTGGGGAACCTCCTAGACCCAGTCAACAGGATGTCAAAGACGCACTGACGACTGCCAGGATGCTTAAAGCAACTCTGGATGCATATGGTTCCGGGATAAGGGCTAAATGTGGTTATGAATGTGACACAGAATTCGGTTGCGACAAGTGCATTCCGAAACACATTGAAGCTACCTGTGTTGCAGCCACCAAAGCAGAAGCCCAGCAGCTCGACATCGAGTGGATCGCGGATACCGGCAGCGCCCAGGACCTGGTATCACAGGGGGACCTCGGATCTTTGAGAAGCCATCGTTCCCAAAACCCTATCGGTATAGTGACGGCTAACGGGCCTAGCACTGCTGAGATTCAGTCCAACATCGCAGTCCCTTCATTGGGAATTGACAGCCATCCATATGTGTTGCCTAGCACACCTTCTGTTCTATCCGTTGGTTACAGGTGCATGGAGGAGGGGTTCGATTTCGTTTGGAGATCGGGTACAAGACCTTACTTTCAGTCATCTAGCGGTGAGCGGATATACATGGATGTGAAGGATTACGTCCCCTACCTCAAATCTTGGAAGGAAGGTGTGGCGGTACCTGCGAGGCGGAAGCCCCAGCCCAATGAGGACCACAAGAATGATCTGGTTCTTTCGCTTGAAGAGGCTGAGGGATACGCAAGGGAACTTCGGATCAACGGCGACTTTCGTCTGGGATCATGTTACAAACTTTTGAAATTGACACCATTCAAGCCGACAGGGAATTCGAGGAGAATGAAAGCTACTGAGAATGACGACTCGGTTGAAGATGAAGTTGGCAGGGACTACATAATCATTGGCGCTTGGATCTTCAGCGGGATGACCGGGGTCACAAATTCTGTCGATCGTCATGCTCAGCTGACCAAGTACCTGATCGCCTTCATGAAGTCAAGAGGGTTGAAAGATACCTTTACGTCTATCTGCATCAACCATGGTGGCAATCGCCGAGTGCATCGAGATTTGTTGAATCATGATAACTCACTCAATCACACTCTAGGCGTTGGAAGCTATCAAGGTGGTTCCGTATGGGTTGAGCAGAAGGATGACTTTCCCGTATTTCGCAGAGAAGGTGTAGCTGGTGGGAAATCAAAGTGCGTCAAGGTTACGGGGGGACTTGAAGTCGACGGAAGAGTATATGACACTCATGATCGAATGTTATCCTTCCACCCCAAGCTTTGGCATCAGGCACAGCCTTGGACAGGTGATCGATGGACCATCACTGCATACACGATTCGGGATGTAGATGGTTTGAGCTGGGAACAGTCAAAGTCGTTAATGTCGCTTGGGTTTCAGTTGAATTCATCAAGACGGTTACCGTTTGTTCCATCATTGATTACCGGCGACAGCGATGAAGAGCTCACACTATACGACTTCGCGAAGAAGAAGAAGGCCGAAGCCGAAAAAGATAAGGTTCCTGAACCAGCTCCTCCCTTGATGAAGAGTAAGGCTAAGTCTAAGCCCAGCAAGCCTGATGCCGGGCGGAAGCCTGAGCCCGAGCCTGAGAAGGGTGCAGACATGTCTGATCTTTTTGATATTATTGAGGAGCATTTCAATGAAGCCGGGGAGTTGAAAAGTGCTGAGGATCAGCCACCTCCTCCTCCTGTTCCCGCTGAGGCAGACAAGCGTTCTAAAGGAGAGAAGGTTTTACGCGAAGAAGCTAAGAGCAAACATCATCTGATGACTCACGTCCCAAAGAATCCCTTTTGCCCTACGTGCCAGAGAGCGAAGATGTTCAAGCCGCCTTCGTATCAAACGAACGGTTCCAGGTTCATTGAGTCTGAGAAATTCGGCGACCATCTCACTGGGGATCATCTCATTGTCTATCGCGACAACGAAGAAGAGATTAGGGATTCGCGACTAGCTCTGGTCATGAAGGACGTGGCAACAGGTTTCCTCGCAGCCTACCCCTCCGGACGGAAGTCTCAGGACGAGTGCTACAAGGCGCTCAACCATTTTGTTGCTAACAATGAGGATGTTGGCATCTTCTACAGTGACAATGCTCCTGAAATCAACGGGGCTGTAGAAGAAATGGGCTGGAAGCATGAACATTCTAAGGCCTATATCCATCAGTCCAATGCCATGGCTGAGCGTGCGATCAGGACTGTTACGGAAGGCGCCAGAGCGAATCTGGAGCAAGCTGGTCTGGCTCACGCTTATTGGCCTCATGCCTTACAACATGCTTGTGTTGCCCATAACATAAGCCATCCCAACGGTACGAAGTACTCTTCATGGACTTTGCGGTTCGGCAAGGACTTTCATGGGCCATTGATTCCATTTGGTTGCCGAGTAGACTACTGGGTCGGTACTCGAGAACAGCGGAAGCTGCAAGGGTACGAAAGATTTGAGAGTTCATCAGAACATGGGATCTTCATGGGTTATCACTTCCAACCAGGAATGCGTTGGCGTGAAGAGATGTTGGTAATTCCGATATCTAAGCTGAATGGGAGTGACTTCTACGAGTACCACAAGCCTGTTAAGGTGCATCAATTGAAAGTGCCTGACGGTGAGTTCACTTTCCCCATGGTCGACCGTTATAACCGTGTCCGAGATGGGCTAGCGCATGACGCCATTGAGAAGCCTGTCGTTGAATCTCTGAGAAATCAGGATGCGGAACCAGTCGTAGATCCTCCTGGGGACGGTGAGGCTGAAGTAGAAGTACCTAAAGTTATTGATCCCAAATCAGGTGATCTCGTTGAGCTGCCCGAAGGCGGACGCTTCTACGACTCCGGTGGAACGCTTGGTAGGAGATATGGAGGGTCCAGAGGTTCAAAGAAGCCGGATAGCATTCCTTCTCACATATGGGTCAACTTGTCCAAGAAGCAGAAAGATAAGGCGATAGCGGAGGAAGCATCGAAGATCGCTAGGGAATATCATGAAGGTGCCGATCGAGCAGGTGGTGGGTCATCGAGTTCAAGGCCTGCTGCGACGCTTGGTGCATCCCGAGATCGATGGGAGATCAAGGGAAACAAATTAGTGCGGTATCATTGTGTCCCTAGACGAGAACTTTTCTCCCCTGATATCATCGATTGTCCTATTCCCACTTCTAGGCTGAAGCCGACAAGGATCTTGCAGATCATCCCCGTGGGAACGGAGGACACTGTTGCTGATGAAGATGATTGGACAAACCCGCGTAGAAGGAACAAGAAATTGCCTTTTAGATGGACCGGCAAAACCATCTTTGAGATCCTACCCTTGGGTACTAGCAGTGCTCATATCGTGGGGGAACCCTATCCGACTATGCCAACTATCCCACGTAGTGGGGAACATCGCGAAAAGATTGGTAATGATTATCAATTCACCCAATCTGAGCTGGAGGTCATGATGGCCTTAGTGGCTCGTCCGGTTGGCAAAAAGGAGCTCGCGGAGAACAGCGATGCCCAGAAATCACTTGATGTGGAATGGGATAAGCTGATGCAAAAGCGAGCCTGGGATATGGATAACCCACGGGAGTGGTCAGAGATCTCGGCGGAAGCCGTTAGACGGGGTCGCAAGGCCCATGTTGGACGTGTTTTCGAGATCTGCGTAGAGAAAGGGAGCGAACTCCCCAAAGGAAATCCCCTGAGGAAATTCAAAGGCCGAACGGTCTTCCAGGGTAATAATGTCCAGGACGAAAGCAGCAACGCCGCCCTGTTCTCGGAGTTAGGTTCGAGCCCTGCTTCGATGGAGGCGGGCAAGGTGCTGGATGCGTACGGATCTCAGCCAGGTTTCGCCTGTGAACAGGCCGACGGTAAGCAAGCTTACACTCAGACGACTTTAAAAGGCGCTGAAACTTGGGTTCGATTGCCAAGGGAGCGGTGGCCTAAGTCCTGGGTTGGCAAGTTTAAGGATCCAGTAGTTCGGCTTTTCCTTGCGCTGTACGGACACCCTGATTCGGGGGGCTTCTGGGAGAAGCATTGTGAGCAGAGACTCAAACAAGTGGGTTTTGATCTTCTGTTTCCTTCTTCATGGCCTTCGGTTTTCTTTCATCCTAAGCTTCGCCTACTTTTAGCTGTCTATGTCGATGATTTCAAGATGGCTGGACCTGCTGAAAACATGCAGGAAGGGTGGAAGCTGATCGGGTCCAAGATCGATATGGATAGCCCGACTCCACTTGGAAGATACCTTGGGTGTGAACATGTTGAGAAGAAGAAAGTTCAAGTGGGAACAGCTGACCATCCCTTTGCCCACATCTTTGATAAAAGCATTCCTGACCCCGCGGCCAAACCTTCGGTTCCGGCTACATCCCAGGATTATACGGAGTACTTTCCTGATGAAGGTGTTATTGTTCGCCATCATATGCAGCCTCGCAAAGCTAAGTATGCTGTTAGCGCTGCGGAAGCAGACGTCTTGAACATCGGCGACCTGCGGTTGACCGAGCGTCAGCTTCTTGGAAGTACTTCTGCAGAAGAACAATGGGATGATGGTTTCCGGGGGGGTAAGGCTTCGGGACTTTGGACGGGAACCACTTATTTGTTTGATCGTGGTATTGACAAGCATCATGCCGTGGCTGCTGTTAAGCGCATTCGTGACAAGAACACTGCTAAGAAGGAAGCTAGGAAACAGGCTTTCTATGACATCAGCCAGTTGTCTAGTGGCACCGGATGCATGAAACAACCCGTCAACATCATCGAGTATGACATGAAGTCTTTTCTTGAACAAGCTGTACAAAAGTACAAAGACCTTCCTGGCCCCAAGTACCACACTCTTAAGTCAGCCTCTACTCCATTCGCCGACGAGAAGATCGCGAGGCCCATCGATGATGAGGCCGAGGCAAAGGGTGAATTGGCTCCTATCGCTAGCCGAGTTCTGATGAAGCTTTTGTTTGCTGCCAGGATGGCTCGTTATGATCTTCTGCGGGCTGTTCAGGGATTGGCAAGCAGGGTCACCAAGTGGTCTGCTGAATGTGATCGGGCTTTACATCGATTGATGTGTTATGTGAATTCCACCCTGGACTTGAAGTTGAGGGGATTCATCGGTGACCCGATTGACCAATGCAAAATATGGTTATTTGCTGATGCAGATCACGCAGGTGAGCATGATAACAAGAGTACATCAGGATGTTTCGAGGCTTTGGTCGGACCAAACACGTACTTTCCTTTGGCGGCTTACAGCAAGAAGCAAACCTCAATTTCTATTAGTTCTACCGAGTCCGAGGTTGTGTGCGCCAATATAGCTTTGAGGACTGTTGGATTGCCATCCTCCGCTTTGTGGAGTGTGCTCCTGAAGGCAGGGGGGGGGGTTCAGACGCATCAAAGCCGTGCGCACCCCGGAAGGGAGATGCCTGTTTGGCCAAATTCCCAGATAAGGATGTTGCTTCTCAGGTACCAAAGACTGGTAGACACGAACTTATTGATTGTCGAGTAGCTGTTCTTTCAGGTGGTGATAGTATCCCTGAACCCGTTGAGCTTGCATCCCATCCTCTTCGAGATGTGTGGTTGCTCCGCGGGGACAAATGGTCCAGAACAGAAGAAGCTGTTGCTTGGGAAGAGCTCGAGAATGCCTCCTATATGATTCCGAAGGATGCCAAAGCCATCTTGTGCCTTTACCGGAAGTCATCATTGGAGTATCGTCGCTCTGCGGAAGCAGAAGCCGAGTTGAATTACGAGGCTTACAAGCTCCGTCACGGACTTGGCGACTTCGAGTACACCGATGATGCAAAGATCAGATCCGATCATTCATTGATCATGGCCGCACCACATTGTATGCAACCTGTGATGTTGGAAGATAACCAGGCCACTATTAGGATCATGGAATCAGGAAGATCACCGGCATTTAGGCACACAGACAAAACCCAAAGAATCAATCTTGGATGGGTATCGGAACAGTTCAGAAGGAAGCACTATGATCTCGCGTACATTAGTACCTTGCTGCAGTCTGCCGACATTTTGACTAAGCCATTTACCAACATTGACAAATGGAAGAGAGCGATTTTCCTCATTGGCCATGTCTATGTCAAACCATCAAGGCCTGCTTCGCCGATCGTCGTGCCGGACAACCTCGAGAAGAGGATCGAGCCCGAGAGCAACGGGGTTCTCATCGAATGGGGACATGATCCGTCGTTCTCTCTGCTCGGAAGGGCAGACGATAATGGTAGCGGTAGCTCATCTGTTGTTCGGGTGACTCACAGCATGGACCTTAACAGTACTCAGACGAGTAGGGACTTGCTCAAGGTTGTCAAAGGCTATGCCAAATCGAATGTTCCCATTACCGTTTGGGTTGACCTGCGCTTTGCGGGGGGTCCTGATGACCGCAAACGCTTCGGCAAGCTATGGTCTTCTTTCGTCAACTTAAGCACCGGTTTGGACCTGATTAACTGTCGTTATATCGTGATTGCTCCCTGGGATCATTTCTCATGGAAGATGGATCGAGTTATCAAGTGGTGTTCCAATCATGAGTGTACGAGTTTTGAAATTCTTGATGACGAAAGATCAGGCAATTTAGGTCATTGGAGATTGCATACTTCCCACAAGAATTTGCCAATTGAAGTGATGAACAATTTTCATGGCTGTAAGCTCAAGAACATTTTCGAGCCACGATTTCCTGCACGACAAGCTGCTGTTGCGGTACAAGTTACTCTGAGCGAAGATCCTATAGGAAGCGCAGCAGTGATGGCATCCCCTATGCCCACCGTCTCTCTTGAGGAGCGTCGCCGACGCATCGAGGCTTTCCGCAGGGCTCTTAAGGACCCTGAATGCCTCGCGGAAGCGATGGCCTTTGAGGAACCGGCATATTTTAAGGATGCCTATGGGGTCGTGAAGGAGGCGTACCAGTACAAGCTGGTGGAGCCTGCGGAGTCCGATCCGCCAGAGGCCATTTTCCTCGGCCGTATCAAAAACGGCGAGTGGATTGGTCTGCGGAAGCAGTACCCCTATGCAGGTTTTCCCCTTCTGTACGAGATGTGGCACAGCCATTTCAACAGCCCGGCTCATCAGGGAATGCCAGTTGAGGGCTTCGAGCTCCTTGGCGATTCCCTCCTGACGGAGTGGACAGAACTTGTCAAATCTTACCTCCGCGACCTGGCTTATGTGGGGCATGCCACAAACGCCGAAATGGCTCTCAAGGCCACTGAGCCGTTTGATGTCTGTCACAGAGCGTATGTGCTGTCCCAGGAAACCCTGGGTTACCACGAGTTGATGCCAGCTGCCACGGCGTTGCTTGACTCGGTGTATACTCCGGCCCTTCGCAGAATCGAGCACCAAGAGCAACCAAGCTCCTATTTCATTGTTGGAGGAGATAGCTCTCTCGCCTTGGTGACCCGAGACGGTGGACGCGTCCAGAAGAAAGGGACGATGGAACCGTCTCTCCGGGAGGAGATGACCAAGGACATCCGCATGGATGGCTGCTCGGTAATCATGCGTTGGGGAAAAGGGCTCGGAGACATCGTGTGGAACGTGGAACAGGAGCTCAACCGAGTCCAAAGGTGGAGGAACGGCCAGGAACCGCTCACACCGGAAGGTGTCGACATTATCATTCAATGGGGTGGTAATGACGTCTATGGCGAGTATGGTTACAAAGGCTTTTCCTTCCACATGCGCAATGCGTGGGTTCGTGTTGATGATGCATTGCATGACACCCTTTCCAACTGGGAGACCAAGGCACGCAAAGCTGTTGAAGACGCGAAAGATGCCCTGGTTCGTCTCTCATCCCGGAAGGGAGTGTCCTCTGTCACGCTGGCGGCTGGCCCCCACAACGGGGAATTCTACGGTCTCCCGGAGGTCTATGACCTGGAGATGGCCCGTCATTCCGACGAGGTGAAGGAGCGAGGGATCCGCATCGTCGACCCCCAGGCCCTCATCCTCGCGACAGAGCGTTACGATGGGTTCCACATGGAGGCTACCCATGACAACGTGAAAGTTACCACCAATTGGTTCTTTCACCTTTGCTCTGCGATTATGTTCGAGCGGTGGCTTGTGAAGCACGCGATGGGGCTCAAGGCCAATTCGCGTGGCATCCTCTTCCACAACCACTTTCACCTCGGACTCGGCTTGGAAGAGCTCGACATCCCTCCTACCACGGACTTGCTTATCCCGGCGGAAGCTGAGATGGTGACTTTCCCGCCTGAGGCACCGCCTGTCCAGCGCTTCCCGGAGGAGGAGATTGTCTTGAACCAGCCGATCCTCAGCTTGGAAAAGCTTGACGAGCTTGAGGGTGTGCCGCCCACTGACTACGTCAATGAAGTGGCGAAAGAGTCAGAGGAGATCACGGTTGAGGACGTTGTGTCTCGTAATCCGAATCCGGAGGACGAGCACCTCACCGTGGAAGCGGTTGACCCTGGCTCGGAGATGGAACAGATCGTTCGGAACATGATTGAGTCGGTGAACCTGGTGATGTCAAATAAGGAGGCTGAAGAGGTCGCCCAAGAGACGGGTGTTGCTCCCTATGAGTACGTTGAGCCGAATGTCACAGCCACATTCGTTGTGGATGGTGAAGCAGTCTCCACGATTGCTACTTCCGATATCCCGACGGAAGTCTGGGACTCCGGTCCTATGGCTGTGGACTACGGCGCAGACGATGAAGTGGAGCATCCCCGCGGAAGTGGTGGACCCATCTGGCTTACTCCGGATCAGCTTCCTGATGTCAGGGGTCGCATGGGATACTTTCGCCTCACGGAGATGGAGTGTGTGTCGTTGGGCAAGAAGCTGTCGTGGCACTTGCGTGGGCATGCCAAGGACAAGGGATTCCGCACTGTTGAGTTCGATGAAGAACAGGCCGCAGAGATCGGAGATGTTTTGAAGGTCATTGGCAAACAATGGTCACGCCTGACGGTGATGACGATCATTGACCTGTTGACGTCGGATCACTGTGACAAGGGCCGGTTCGAACTCCAGGCGGAAGCCTTGGGCGAGGATACGCGAGTGGGCCGGGGAACAAACTGGCACTTCACTCGTATCCGAGCATTCCAGGGTCACAACGCCTGCTTGCTCGTCCTCGGCAGCGACCCGCTGAAGAACACTGTCAAGCAGTGGGCCCTCGATGACAAATGGATCCCGTGCTATGTCGATCTACCGATCACGGGTCCATACCCTTATCGGGCAACGGCCTTCGATCTTATGCCAAAGCTGGCGTATCACGCCACATACTGGCGAAATTTCACGAAGATCGTCAACACAGGCCTCATCCCGGGAGGGAAGATGACTTCGAAGGGCAACAGCGGGAGGCCCTTCAACATGTTCGCGATGGAGCCTCAGTGGGAACGCACCTCCAATCAGGGCGTCCGCCCTGGCGCCCAGCTGGAATTTGTGATAGACTTACAGCTCGCCGCTTGCGATGGCTGTCGGTTTTTCGAGACAAAAGCTGGAGCGCTGCAGACGCCGGATTGGATCAGCAACCGGGCCATTCTGTATGCATACGACCGGTCGACTCAGGAGATGATCTGGGCGAACCGAGCATACGAACCAGCGCGGAAGCGCTTGGCCCAGGCGTGCAAAGACAAGAGCCTCAACACGCCGATTTATGGCGAGCGGGGTCACCAGGAGCTGGTCGATGCAAACGGCTATTGCTACAACTACCTCGTGGCAGGCCTGGGGTATCGCAACTTCGACACCTGGAAGGACGCCGCTAAGGCATGCAAGGATGTCTACGACCTTGATTTCTACCCAACAAGCATGTGTGGTCTAGACATTCGCATCCCGGAAGGGCATGCCTTGCAGGGCTCAGAGTCATTGTACAAAATGGTGGTTCACGTGGCTCCAAAGCATCCCCATCAAAGATGCAACGATGAGTCGGATTGGCGTCGCCAGGAGAACGTCAGCATTCCTTCTTTCGGTTGCCCAAGCTGCGGTACCTCCAACGTTGATGGTACAATCTGTTGTTATCGATCGATTGGAACCGCACTCAGATGTGAGCATGGCCTTGGAGAACACCCGCGCCAAGCAAGTTGCCGCCCGGAAGGGTGAGCCCCTGGATTACAGGGCATTGCAACCAAGCGGGGAGGTCAACTCCAACCGTGCCACAGGCAACAAGAGGGATCGGAGTGCTGGCTCTGGCCCGGCCGCTGTTCGCCAACAGGCCGCCAAGTACCTCGGAAAGGCCCTGATGGCGGGTTCTCGCACTGTTGTTGTGCGTCAGTCTCGTGATCCGTTCACGGCCTACAACAATGCAAGATTTGGCATATCCATTACGGGGCTTGAGCAACTCATGATTTTCGCCCGAATGAGGATCGCCAACCCGCCGAGGTCACGCCAGATGATCCATGACCGCACTGGCTTTGACGGCGCAGCCAAGGTGAGCTTCTCATTCCCACCGGAAGGTGAGGACCTGACACTTACCGACCACTGTTTTGTGGCGTTCGTGGACAGGTTCCACAAGCTTGACGAAGCCGCCTTGTTGGCGTTTGCCGTCCATCGCAACGGCTACGTCATGGACATTCTTGGCTTTAGCGGCCGCATATTGAAGCCGACTGGTCCCGTGGTACAGATCTTGGCTAGGATTGTGGGATTCTTCCAAGACGAGGTTCGGTATGCGGTTGAGCGCGGTGAACGAGTGCCTGAGTTGGTTTTGCCTGCCAATCAGGAACTCCGCGTCCCGGAAGGGCTCGCCTCTCTTGGGGACAGACAGCTGAATGAACTTCTCATCAACACGAAGTTCGCGCGACAGCTCCCCGGCGCCAAAGGCGTCAATGAGAGGGTCGGATACGCCTTCAGAGCAGGGAGGACGGAGACGAGAGGCAGATCAGCTCAGCCACCGATTCCAAAGGCGAGGCCAACGACCAGAGCTACCGGCAGTGCACAGCGAGCTGGCTCAGTTCCTCCAAAGCCACGAGCACGCCCTCGTGACCCTTCCCCGGGAGTGGCAGCTACCCGAATGCGGCCAACAGAGCCCAGCTATCCGCCACCCGGAAGGGATGTGCCAGGATCGTCAACGGATGCTCCGATGCGTCCGCCCGAGCCGAAGGGGCCTCCACCAACGACCTTAGTCGTCGATTCAAGGGGGAACCCTATTGACCCATCGCAGCCTCGCCTACCCTACTTCACAAGGCATGATGCGCTGCTTTGGGCTCGCCTCAAGGCATCTCGGGATAAGAACGTTCCCAGAGGCATGGAAGATCGTGCAGTACCAGCGTTTCATGATTTGAACGACTTCCACCTCCTGGCACCGGAGCACGTGGGCTACTTTCTCTCTGGCTGGAAAGAGACCCAAAACGGGATCCGCCTGTACTGACTGCCGCGTCTTGTGCAGTACAGTAGCAGCTAATTTGCATTTTCGGTTCGTTGTGTTGTTTTCTCCACCCTGACGGGTCGGACATGTAAGAGTAGTTTATCTGCTCCATGTCCATTGTTCTGCCTCCCTGACGGGACGGCCTAAGTAAAGGGCCGGAACTGATGGGACATGGCACGTCAGGGGTGTTGCGATCTTTCTAAGAGCTTTGTTGCACCTAAGGTGTAAAATCAGCCTGCTTTTGCATTCGCAACGTGTTGGTAGCATACTGTACTTCTACTTTCGCCTCTCTTCGCTGCCCTAAGAGGCGCGGGGGGTGTTTTATTGCTCTTTGTACGTATGTCTACCGACTATACTCGTTGCTTGGCTCAAGAAAAAGTGTGTGTGCGATTCGTGCTATCGTGCACTATCTATAAGTTCTTCATCTTCACGTTGGGCAGGGGGCGGTTGTCAAATAGAGCGTAAAAGTTCAACCCACAAAGCCGTATACTACTAACTCTTAAGGCCCCTAGATAAAAACCCCAAACCCTAAATCCCTAAAGCCCTGTAAAAACACACAACGTCCCGCTTCTTCTAATAACCGTTATCTGGAACCATATTCTGACTCTTAAGGTCTCTAAACCCTAGAAATTTAAACCTTACACCTTAGAACCCTGAACTCTATAAACCCTAAACCCTATAAACTTTAAACCCTAAACCCTTCAGGTCACTACATCGAACCCCCTGCGAGTCCCAACGCGCCCCCCATACCTTACACCATAAAACCTTACTTTAGATCCCTTATAGAACCTTTGATAGACCCCTAAACCCTAAACCCCTAAACCCTAAACCCCTAAACCCCTAAACCCTAAACCCCTAAACCCTAAACCCCTAAACCCCTAAGCCCTAAACCCCTTTCAAAGAACCCAGAAACCCTATCATCCAAGGACTGGGAGCCGGTCGCCTGGGACTCAGACCCCGGAACTCAGCACCAGAGTTTTGGCTTTAGTTCTTGTTTTCTTTCAGGGGTTTAGGGAATGGGATCTTTAACGTTTAGGCTTTTGTTTTTTTCTGCAGGGGTTTAGGGAATTAGGGTTTAGGGTTTAGGAGTATTCTGGTTTAGGGTTTGAGCCCTGTTTTGTTTTATGTTCTCTGGGGGTTCTTGTAAAGGGTACTATAGCGGATCCTTTTAGAGATCTGTAGGGTTTAGAGTTTAGGGAATTTATGGGGTTTTGTATGAGAAAGTTGCTTATAGCTTGTCTATAGGTGGCCATCGTTTTTTGTGTAGGGGTTTGGGCATTTAATGTTTTATGTCGTTTTAAATGAGTTTACTGTGCTTCTGTAAAAGTTCCGAGAAGGGTTCCATTTGTCAGCTGCGCGGGTGTCATGCACTCCTTTGCTATACCAAGAGCTCTGCAAAAGACGTCCTCGGCTGCATGGGGTGACAAGTAGTTCGGGACGGCTTGAGCTTTTTCATCAAATCCGGAGTACCTAAGTAGTAACTTTATGGAGTTATAGGTACCATAACCCCAATTAAGATCCCTGGCCTGCAAAGCTGGCCATGAGCGACCGACACCCCTGCACAGTTTGGTACAGGTCTGGCAGAAGTCCGCCCCGAAGGGCAAGAGCGCCAAGAGCGCGACCGAGGCAAGCACATACAGCTGGGGGCTGGAGGGTCTGCGTTTGCATGTGTGGTCAGATCAGGCATGTCTCTGTGCTTCGAGAGCGCGAGACGGAGAGCGAGGGTGCGAGAGAGCGAGGGAGACGGAGTGAGACTGGATTCCCAAGGTGTGGATGAAGTAATTCACTCTTCAAGCCCGATGTCAACCCCTGCATCCCTGAGCCCAGGCGCTAATCTAACTGGAAAATGAGGTTTTGCAACGATTTTATACGGGTTTAAGGGTCAAGCGTCGTTGTGGAGGTCTCATAATCGAACGATCAATGCAAATGAGCTTCTTTGTAAGGAGGTTATTCCAGAGTAAACTCTTAGTAGAATAATATAGGGGCCTCAATAATTACCAATCCTATTTTGGGGGTTCCTTATTATTAAGTATAGTATAAATGGGCCCCCAAAGCCCTATTCTAATTATTATGGCCTCGATATTAGGCGCCTTCAGGGCCCTTTCGTGGGTTCAGTGTAGACATGCACTGCTGCTTAGGGTTTAGGGTTTAGGGGTCCTTGCAATCCACAGGTGAATGCTGCTCGCCGAACAGGTGGCTATGTTGAGACAGACAAGAAGCCGCGGCCTTGGCTTTGGTGTCGGTGTTTGGGCCTCTGAGGGTTATGGATGTTGCATCATTGGTGTGTGCTCTTTTGTTTCAGCTGAGATGGTGATGGTGATGACTTTGATGTTGATGGTTCTGACAGTGATCATCACAGCGATGATGACGAAGATGATGATAGAGATGGAGACTGTGGGGCTGGTGGTGATGATGATGATGAGGACGGTGATTGTCGTGGTGACGGTTTCTGTGTTCATGGCTACTCTCATGCATGGAAGGAATATTGCAACTGTGAGGTGGCGGGCATGTGGCAGAAGAGCTGCATTCTTCCAAGCTCCTATGTCCCTCTAGGTGCAGCATCCCCAAAAAAACACAACCTTATGTTCGATTTTGTTCAGCAGCCTTCCCACGGTCAGGCTGCAGGCCCGAGTCTGTTGTCACTCGAAATCTTACCTGCCCTCGTTTAGGGGCCATATGGGTAGTTGTCAAAATTATGGTTCCTTGTGGGTCCTTATTATAATACGGCACCTATTATTTAGGGTACCCCAAAAGGGACCATCATTTTGACAACCACCCCTATAGTCCTACTTCAGAGCACAAACCCTGAACCAGAAGCCCTGGGAGAGATCCGGGGTTGTCAGGTTTGGAGGTGGCACCAACGTGCCGGCTTCTCAGTGGGTCGCTGCTCTTGGGCCTACTATGGGGATGGGTTGTGGGCTTAGGGGGTTTGCTATTCCCTTATACTCCCTGGTCACGTGTCCCTAAAACTACTACAAGTTAGGCTTTACATTTCCTGAAATGTCTTGTAATGTAAGATGCCCTGAAGCCTAAAACACTGTCGGGGTTTTCCTATTCCCTGGTAGCCCTTGGTTGATCTCCCTGAACCTTCACCCTGGGAACACTCATCTAGTCATTAAGGCTCAGTAGTACATTGTTTGTGGTCCCTAGTTACCTAGTTGAGTTGTGACCTATAGGCATGTGGATCGAGATTGGAGCCAGGTTCTGTGCTTGTTTGGGTTTGCAGCAGATTTCAGGAATAGGTGGAGGCTTGTGCTTCCTGTGGTGCTCCGGGCGTTGTCCTAAACCCTAAACCCTATAACCCCAAACCCTGCTAAGCCCTTAACAGAAACCCTGAACCCCAAACCCTACTGCCTAAACACAAAGCTCTTTGTCTCAGCCGCAAGGTCAGCGCACTCAACAGTGCCCAATGCCAAGAAGCTGGATGTGAGCCGGCCGTGTTTGATGATTCGGGGTTCTAGAAGGCTTCTATGCGGTTCTACAAGGGGGCTATCCGGGTGTAGCTTTGGCTTCGACTTATGAAGATTGCAGCATAGTGGTCTTGATAATGGGACATTAGAGTGGTTTTCAATAGGATCCGGGCGATTCTTACTGTAGTATAGTTAGATTCAAGAACCATGAGCACCAACGTTTGCAATCGATTATGTTGGCTTCTACATTGCATATAAAAGCGCTGAGTTTTTCTCCCTGAGTTGCGTGCATCAGACTTCAAGACCTAATGTGGGAGCCTTAATAGTTGGAACTGGGTTTGGTGGGGTGTATTATACTATAACTATAATAAGGAACCCCAAAAAAACCCTGCTCTAAAAAAGAAAGGCCCCTACATGAATCGAAGAGGTTTTCGCAGTTGTGAAAAGTATGGGGAGGGAAGGCTTCAATGACCTGTATAGTTCAGGGTTTAGGGTTCCTTTAAAGGGACCTATAAGGTTCCTATAAGGGTTCTCTAATAAAGGGTTTCGTATTGTCAAGGGCCACACCGGGTCAACCCCAGGCCCCTGAACCCCAAACTCAAAATCCCGATGAATTCAAAACCCGAAGCTTTAACAGCCTATGAAACCCGGGGCCTTAAAAAGGGGCTCCTTTAAAGGTGTCTATAAGGGTTACTATGAGGGAGCTATAAGGGTACTATAATGATGTAGGAACCTGATTAAGAAACCCTGGGCCTATGACCCCTAAAATAGTAGGATTCATATAAGTTACCCAGATAAAGGCCCAAGGTTTCTTAGTCAGGTTCCTACATAATATCCTTAAACTCAAGATCCTAAATCCGAAAAACCCAGGGGCCCTAAACACCAAAAGCTCCGGAGCTCTCGACGAACTGCAAGCCTACGAACCACGCCAAAAACTGTTTTGAAACCCGATAGGCCCTTTGTTTTAGTAGCCGCTGTGTAGCCCCATTTTCAGCTCTTAATGGGGACCCCTACCCTATAATGGGCTATATAATGGGTATATAATAGCTATAATATAAGGGTATATACTTAGGGGTCCTTATTAAGGGTCCCTCCTTTTACCCTTGGATCAGCGATCTCCCCCCGGATTCAGCACCAAATCGACTCGAAAGCTTTTCGGGAGAGGGGGACTTGGCTCTTCCAGGTATTGGGTTTAGGATTTAGGGTTTAATATAGGGGCCTTCATAATTACCTCTACTATTTTGGTGGTTCCCTCTTACAAGTAAAGTATAGTATACCCCGAAAGCCTACTCTACTTCGTCTTACGGCCCCTATAGCAGGGTCTTTTTAGGGCGGGCTTCCTGAAGGTGGGACTCAGAAGTTTGTGTGAGTGTGTGTGTGTGTGTTTGTGTGCATCTCGTACGTCTTTGTACAGAAAGGGTTACTATAGTGAGTGACAAGAGTTTTCTTAAGACAAGCTCTTGTTGAGTTGCTGGTCTTTAGAATAAAGGCTCCTACTACTGTATGGAATCCCTGTGGAACCCTGAAGAGCTCCCACAGATCCCTAAGAGCACTTGTCATAAGGAGCCTAACTTCAGATTCTTTGGAGTTTTAGGTTCCTAGGGTTCGGGATTATAGGTGCTGAAGGTTGTGAGGTTCTTAGGAAATGGGGGCCTGTAGCCCCAAGCCCCCAACGAATCCCTACAGCCTCTGCGCTTGAAGTCGTCAGCCGAAGACGCCGAGGCCGCCAACCCAGAATCCTGCATCTTACAACGCGTGGCTCTAAAGCCCCAAACTCCGCACTAGAGACCCTTGTAGACACGCCTATAGGAAAACCTCTGAGAAGCCCGCATAGCTCGCCTTACGTAGGAGAATGGCGAGACCTTCCGACATGCCACCGTGTCCCACGAATTCAAGACCGCCCTTCAGCAGGCCGGGACTCGCTTGTTTATGCAGTGCAGGGTTTAGGGTTTAGGGCTTTAGGGTTTGGGGCTTTATTGTTTTGGGTTTAGGGTTTTGGGTTTGAGGGTTTAGGTCTTTGGTGTTTGGGGCTTTGGGCTTAGGGGTTGAACCGAAGCTCCGGAAGATCCTCTAAAGCCCTGTCTGAAAAAGCCACTGATAGGGTTTAGGTTTCAGGGTTTAGGGGTTTAGGGGTTAGGGTTTGGGGTTCAGGGTTTAGGGGGCAAAGCAGGTCCCCAAAGCCGTGCAGGACCTGACCCTCTGGAGCCCAATCCGTGTTAGTGCAATACTATCGAGTGCCCTCAAACCATATTCTCATTACTTAAAGGAACATGGGACTTAGTAACTAGGGTTATAGTTAGGGTAACTATACTTAATACCCCAATTAAGGGTACTTATAACCTTACTTACTAAGTCCCATGATCCTCCAAGTATTCAGGCCTCTGTATTGAACACCGAAGGCTCGCATAGCAAAGAAGATGACCCAGACCGCCCTGGCGACTGCCATCAACGAGAAGGTCGCAGCTTTGGAGTTTAGGGTGTTGAGACCCGGGCTCAAACATGCATATATGGAATCCTGGACAATTACCAACACGATTCTCGCGTATTCGTGAGTTTTTGGACTAAAACCTTACTATTACTATAGCATTATATTATTATAGTATTATAGAACTGTAGTATTACAGTAGCACAGTGGTATAGTACAATGTAGGTGTTAGAACGATTCTCAAAGGGGAAAAGGAGGGACCCTTAATGAGGACCCCTACCCTATAATGGGCTATATAATGGGCTATATCATAGCTATATTCAGGGTATATACCTAGGGGTCCTTATTAAGGGTCCCTCCTTTTACCCTTGGAGCTTCTGTAAGGGTTTAGTACCCAGAGAGCCCAATACCCCTTAATTAAGGAATATAGCTTAAATCATAATATGAAGCCCTGTATAATTTAAGCCATATTCCTTAATTAAGGGGTATTGGGCTCTCTGGGTAAGCAGGCCTCAGCTGCTCTTCGGCCTCAGCTCAGGGCCTGGCTCGGGTTTTGACGATTTACAGGTGTAGACCCTACCTTACAAGTTGGTCCCATGATCCTCCCGTCTAGACCCCTTATAGATCCCTTCAAGGAATCCTGTTATAGAGCCCTATCGTACCCCAAAAAGGAACCCTAAAACTTACTTAAAAATCCCATGACTTAGAAGGGGTCCCCCACCCTGTAATAGTGGTATAATAGGAATTAGGGCCCTAATATAATCCTATTATACCACTATTACAGGGTGGGGGCAGCTTCAAATGTAGACCTACCCAAAACCGCCCAAGAGTGGGGAAAATCATCGCCCCAGGCCCTGTAAAAGGCCATGGTTCTACATACTTTAATAATGGCCCCCAAACCCTTTAAAAGGCCCTGATTCCACATACTTTTGGGGCCCAGGTAAACAGGTTTCGTAAGCGTTTTCTTGTGAGGCTTTTTGCTAACCTCGGGGGGTTTTGGAGATTCGTGCTTGGAGGATCATGGGACTCAGTAAGTAAGGTTATAAGTACCTTTATTGGGGTGATAAGTATAGTTCCCTAATTCTAACCCTAGTTACTAAGTCCCATGACCCTTTAAGTGGTCGGGGCTTAGGGCTTCCGTTGGAGCTGAGGGTTAGGGCTTATCGGGTTTGGGGCTTATAGTATAGGGTTTGGGGTTCAGGGTTTGGGGTTTAGGGTTTGGGGTTTAGGGTTTGGGGTTTAGGGTTTGGGGCTTAGGGTTTAGGGTTTAGGGCATATAGGGTTTAGGGTTTAGGGCGTTTAGGGTTTGGGGCATCAGGGTTGTAGGATGCTGTAGGCAGTTGTGGTAAGGGGCTTACCTCAACCCCAAATGCTTTTTTCCGGTTGACACTCCTGCGCACGATTAATTATGGGCGATGCAGCCTCCATGCTGGAGTCCAGTCGCACAGGGTTCGGAGTTTTGGCATCCTATGGCTGCTTCGGATGATTCAGTTGGTATTTAGTTCGGATTCGGGCTTAGGTTAAGCTTTCAATCGCGTGGTCAGGTGTCGGAAAGCTAGCGAAGCCGAATCGTGCTTCTTGGGTTTCGGGTTTAGCAGGGGTTAGGATGTAAGGCCGAAGCCAAATCCGCAGCGAATGCCCCTAAGACCCCTGAGGCCCTAATGCCCAAGAGCCAAGCTACAAAGCTCACCCCCGCAAACCTCGAAGGTTAAGCTCGCGAACAAACTTTTTTCCTCAACCCCAAGCCAAAAGCTGGAACGCCTGAAGTTCTTCTGACCTGGCGTTGCGCAGGGTAGCGTGATCAACGAGTACGAGAGTGGCAAGGCAAACGGCGATACGTGCTAACCCCCACGTGTCTCTGCATGTTTCGTAAACGTGTGCATCTGTCTGTACATGCCATGTACCTGTGTGTATATGTGTTTTCATAGTTATGTGTGTGTGGTATGTGTATATATCTATATATATATATATATATATATATATATGCACATACACTATATGCATGCCATCATGTATCGGTGCTTACATATTATAATCTGCGCACATGCATACCTATCTGTCTATCTACCTATCTATGAACAAATAAGCTAACAACGCAGCATAGGTTCACATTTTCTTGCAAGATCCCGAAACTTTTATCCTGAATCTGGAGTCCCTGGCTCCCATGGCCAACCTTTTCGTCACAACCGACATCTTAAACCGTGCGCACAAAACCGTCCGACTGAAAACCACTACCAGACACTCCCCCTTCCCTTCGCCCTCCTACTAACTACGCTTGTCAAAGCAGGGTTCTGGAAGCTCGAGTTTGCAATGTCGAGAAGCTGATTTTGAGGCAACAACAAGTGACGAAAACATAGTAATTTGAAACGCTGCGCGTCGTCCGCCTCGGCCCGGCTGTACGCGCATGCGGCGAGTGGCTACTATCTGCAGCAAGCTCTTGTAGGAAAAAAGTAACGGTTGGAATCGCACTTATAGTAAAAGTAATGTTCATAGCAACACGAAGCAGGATGATTGTGAGTAGTATTAGTAGTGGTAGTATCGGTACGAATTTTGGTGTCGTCATTCCGAAACACTGGATACCAAGACTCTCGCAAGCGGCGGGATGCCTTAAGTATGGGCCGTTGAGGCTGTGGATTTCGTGGGCGTCTTGGGTTAGGGAAGCATCACAGCCTTTTCAACCACGTTACTCCGCCTATCCCAACGAAAGGGCGTCTAAAACAAGCCTGAGACGCAAAGCCATCAATTCGATACCAACATAGGGGCCCAAACAATGATTAAGGGCGGGGGAGGGGGGCGTCGTGCTTTCGGGTGCAGGTGTTGTCCCGGCTTTGAAAGTTTTTCGGGCTGGGGTAGGGTGTAGGGTTAGGAATTCAGGTTTGAAACTTGCTTGGTACTGCAGCCCTGCAGCGTTACAGGCGAGCCCCAATGTTTCAGGCTGGGGTTAGGGTGTAGGGTTAGGAATTCAGTTTGAAACTCGCTTGGTACTGCAGCCTTAAAGGCGAGCCCCAACACAAAGATGCTACGAAAGCTCGCGCTTGTCAGCGGGGCGGGAGGGAAGGGAGGAGGCGGGGGGGGAGAAGGGGGAGGGGGGGGGGGGGGGGGGGGGGGGGGGGGGGGGGGGGGGGGGGGGGGGGGGGGGGGGGGGGGGGGGGGGGGGAGGGGAAAGCTGCGTTTACGGTGTAAAGTCGAGTTTACGGGTTAGGGCTTCAAGTTTAGGTTTCTTGATGTTTCAACTTTTTAAGCTTTATAAGTCTACAACGCTTAGTTAGGGCCCTAGAGTAAACCCGCCCTGGACTCCTCAAGCCTGGACCTGCCAGGGTTCATTGCAGTCCTTGTGGTTTGGGGGTTTAGGGTTTAAGGTTCAGTGTTGATATCTGCTTAGCCGTCGAAAACTCCACAAAACTCGCACCTGTCAGCGAGGGAAGGAAGGAGGGAAGGGAAAAGGGGGGGGGAGGGGTGGGAGGGGAGGGGGGGGAGGGGGGGGGGGTGGAGACCAAGGGAAACGAAGAAATGGGTGGGACTGCCTACAGAAGACCAAAATCCACTGGAGAAGGCGAAAATTCACCGCCGGCTCATCGACACGTTTCCATTTTTTAGGTGGGGGGGGGGTGGGTCACTGGGGAGGGGATTAAGAGGTGGGGAATAGAGGAATCCGAATAGGAACCTCTGACCGCTTCGGCCGGGGCCTAGGCGAATTATCGAGTAACATGGATATGTGCGCGATGCGGTGCCGTCATTGCCCCCACCCCCCCCCCCCCCCCCCCTCAAAAAAACACACCCACCCCCCCAACTCCCCGGGAACCCTTCCGAAATCCGAAGCTCGAGTCGAGTTTGCAAAGTTTTGAGGCAACAAGAAGTGGTAGGACATTGCGAAAGTACCGTAAATGCCGAGTAAACTGGATGCGCTCTTAAGAGGTTTTAAACCCAGTGTAGTTGGTAGGGGGGGGTCTGTGCCTACTACTACTACTACTACTACTACTACTACTACTACTACTACTACTACTACTGCTACTGCTACTGCTACTGCTACTACTACTACTACTACTACTATTACTACTACTACTACCACTACTCTACTACTACTACTACTACTACTACTACTACTACTACTACTACTGCTACTGCTACTGCTACTGCTACTGCTACTACTACTACTACTACTACTACTACTACTACGACTACTACTACTGCTACTGCTACTGCTACTGCTACTGCTACTGCTACTGCTACTGCTACTGCTACTCCTACTCCTACTACTACTACTACTACTACTACTACTACTACTACTACTACTACTACTAGTGCTACTGCTACCGCTACTGCTACTACTACTACTGCTATTACTATTACTACAACTGCTACTGCTACTGCTACTACTACTACTACTACTACTGCTGCTACTGCTACTGCTACTGCTACTACCACTACCACTACTACTACTACTGCTGCTGCTGCTGCTACTACCACTACTACTATTACTACTACTACTGCGACGACGACTACCCAACTACTCTTCCGGCTGCTACGACGACGAGGACTGCTGCTACTATTACAATGACTACTAATCATGTTTGTTGTTACCTTCAAGCCACTGTCGACAACAGAAAAATTTGCTACTACGACATACATGTATGCATACATACATGCACGGATGCATAAGTACACTGCAGTAGCATATCTGCGAGGCCATTCCGAATGGCGCCATCATCAACAAGCTGCATCTTGCCTGCAAGTGTTGCAAATTGATGGCTCGTGCTGCCACGTCTGTCGCGAGAGGCCACTCGAACAAACAAAGTGCTGTGTGTGCCAGGAACAAGGCTCTTGGTGTTCGTCTGCCGAAGGCCAAGTAAAGGCGCATTTGTCAGGAGCTCAGCTGGCCGCATCCTGCGTGTAGGTTCAACTCAGGTTGTAGATGGGTGGCAGTGTTTCTGTTTCTGACTTATGTCAATGCAGTGGTACTACCGCAGTTACAGTACGAGCTATCATTGGAGTAGTCGTACTTGTACTTCCAGTCTCCTTCCGGTTGTTGCCATTCTCATCACAACTGCAGAAGTTGCGGTGCTTGTCCTGACCAAAATCTCAGACGACAGCGCATGTCAGCATGGCACCAGCAGCTTCCCCGAAACCTTTCATGGGAGGTTACTTGGAGGATCATGGGACTTAGTAAGTAAGGTTATAAGTACCTCAATTGGGGTTATAAGTATGGTTACCCTAATTATAAGCTTTGGATGTCTAGTCACAAGTCTTCTTGGGTGCCTGGGGCGCTGGTGTAGTACGCTGAACGTCTGAGCATCTGCAAACACACAGATGAAACAGATTAAGATTTCGTTCGCATCATTGGCCCAAATAACTTCGACAATCCTAAATGACCGTACCCAAAACACACACAGAGACCTTGCAGTGTAGCCCCGCAGTCTACATACGCCAAGGACCCGACATGATCCTATACATATATATATATATATATATACATATATATATATATATATATGTATGTTGCAAAAAGAACCACCAAGTAACGCGCAGACACACAATGACACACAGCACAGCAGTCACAACAACACGCCTGCGAATTATTTAAGGCTCCTATATTAGTAAGTCGCTCTAATCGTCCCAGGCCCTATGGTCTCACCTCAGGCCAGCACGGCATTGACTTGTCAAGCGCGAGTCTTGAGGGTTCCGGGTTTACGGTTTAGGTGGGGAGCCGGGTGACAGAATTGCAGGAGTTTAAATTTTAGGATTGAAGGATTGAAGGTTTCTGGTCCAATGACTGGGAAGTTTTATCAGGGGTCTCTTATTTGAGTACGGAAGCCCAAACATGTGTAGTTGTATGCTCTGGTTTCCCCGTGCATCATGGTCCACTATGCTGTTCCAGCTATCCAAACGCTATTTGACCCCGCTTGTTGGCCATTGTCAAGATGAAGCCTGATAATAAGGTTTGATTCACTTCGTTGACCCTGGCAAAGTGTTTGGGGCTGCATGTAAAAAAAAACTGCAGAGTATCATTAAAATACGTATCGTAATAAGCGTTTAAGCAGGTCTAGCTACAGCTACCTGACCCTGACTTGCAGCACTGCTTGCTTGGTACTATGGTTTTTCCTGCAGACCTGAGCCCTCAGGAGAGTGAGTCTTCCGAAGCAGTATTCGTAGCACGTACAAACCCTGGAGTTTAGACTATAGTCTCCTTAGGAATTATTTATATTTTTGTTCACATAAACCCAAAAGACTATTAAAGATAATATCTTTAGAATGGTTCTAAGGCACCCGAAGCCGACAGTTCCCGAGACTGACATCCGAAGCCGGAAGCATAAACCCTCTATCGCACCACCCGGAAGCAACCTTGAAATAAACACCCGAATAACCAGCCCAAGCAGACCCCGCAGACTGCTACAGTAGTAGTTTGGTGCAGCAGTGGCAGTGGTAGTAGCAGCAGTTGTAGTGGGAGGAGGAGGAGGAGGAGCAGGAGGAGTGCGAGTGGGAGCAGGAGTAGTAGAGACTCCACATTCTGCGAGGCCTTCGGGCTTGGTCTCAGATCGCCAGGGCATCTGGCAGAGTGATGGCGGTGGTTTCTGTTGAGGTTCAAGAAATAGGGGTTAAGTACGGTTTAGGATTAGGGTGCCATTAGCAGTTCTTGAGGTAGTTGAGGTTCAAGTATAGGGGTTTGGTTTTGAAGCCGATGCTGTCTCCGCTCGCTTGGGTGCCCGCCCTCAGCTGATACCAAGAGGAATCGGTTTTAGGTTTTGTGAAAAGGACAGGGGATGCCAGCATCTAGGTTGCCGAAGGCAAGAGGACAATAATGATAACAGCGACACAGAGAATAATGGATGCATATACTTCAGTTAAAAAATGATCATGATAATCACAGCAGCAGCAGCAGCAGCAGCAGCGGTCGTAGTAGTAGTAGTAGTAGCAGCAGCAGCAGCAGTAGTAGTAGTAGTAGTAGTAGTAGTAGTAGTAGTGGTAGTAGTAGTGGTAATCGCAGCAGTGGTGAAGGGGCTTGGTAGAGGACGAACGCTGGTACAGCAATCTGAGATGCTTGGAGAAGGCGAGATTTCCGAGTTTTCTCTAAACGAGAAACAAAGGAGCCCAGTACTCCATTTTGCCATTTGCAACTCCCCTTAGCTTAATCTGATACGGAGAACTTGCCGATCTTTAGAGCACCCTCTCGTAACTTCAGCGTTCAGGATTTAGTAGGTAAAGTTTCACTCTTGCAGGTTTTATAACCCTACCAGAATCAAAGGGCTTACCTTATTTTGGGCCAGAGAACTCGAAACAAAACATATAGACTACTAGTGCATCCTGCTACTAATCGCGCAGACTCCCTATGTTATCCTTTTGCTGTGTGGGCGGAATGGAAAGGACAGCAGCGACTTTCCACCAAGCAGCGCGCCTCTATCCTTTGCTAGTGAAAGCACTTTTCTGCCGTGCCTGAAAGTGCTACTGCCAAGAGCAGCAGAGTTGGGTGCAACTTGGAACATGGTAGGCTGTGGGTATTGTTGCCACTACTACCACGACGACAGCCGACAGCTACTACACCTACGAGTATTAATTGTTGCTGCGGCGGCCATATCGCTACCATCAACATCATCGACAGAATCGTCATCGTCATACTGCCAATAATGCTGGATTACTTTATCATCTTAGCGGCTCTCAGGATCTACTTGCCAAACTGGGCTGAGAGCTTCTGGGATCTCGAGCCGTTTCTGTTCGGGTGAGGAGGGGATGTTGCATTCGGAAACCACTGCAAGATGTGCGTCTAAGCCCCAAGCGCGAATGGTTTAGGGTCGAGAGGACATAGATCTTGGGTTTCAAGAATTACACGCTTGCTCTCTTTACTTCTAGGCCTGCCGCACCATTCGTAGGGGCCGCTATTTGTGTTCTCGTACCATTGCTGTAGAAACGCCTGTCAGCTGGACTCGTTAACAAAATTATAGAGTCAGCTTCAGGCTACCCTTCCTTGATTGCTGCAGAATTTACTACTACTACTACTACTGCTGCTGCTGCTACTACTACTACTACTACTACTACTACTACTACTACTACTACTACTACTACTACTACTACTACTACTACTACTACTACTACTACTACTCTCCTGCGATTATTGCAACCCAACTCTGCTTCGGACCCCAGCAGTGCAGGCGCATGCCAACCACTGGCCCTGATCACTACATGGGTGGTTGTCAAAATTAGGGTCCCTTTTTGGGTACCCTAAATAATAGGTGCCGTATTATAGTAGGGACCCAAAAAGGGACCATGATTTTGACAACCACCTACATGTAAGCCGTTTAGAATATGTGGGTCCAGAGCACGAGGGGTAGGGAAAATTCTTAACGCTAAAGTTATTGAGGTGTAGGCTTTGGGGATTCGCACCCCCATCTCCTCCAACTCGTATACGAGGGCTATCGATTCTGTGCCCTGCACGACTCCTCCACGCACCGTCTGCCGGGAACTCGGCATTTTGTGGGCCCCTGGGACTGTAATATACAAAGCTGAAGACTTGCCAAGACTATTCCTTGCTGCTGTCATAGTTACAGCATAATATAACAGTGTGGCCCCTAAGTCAAAACAGAAGGCGATGTGGCATTTGGTAATTACAGTCAGGCTTCCATACTCTACTATAGGCTCTGGGAGTGTGGGGCTGAAATGCTGAGATTTATTCGCGGAGTTTGGTGAGGTAGGGGTTTGCGTGCATCAGAATCCGCTTTCTGGTTTTCTGACGGCGTGAAGTCCTGGAGATATGCATTTGGGGAACCCTCGTTTTCGAACAACTGGCATGTAGCGGCTGTGTAGGTACATGCACGTACAATTACAAAAGGAACAAAAGGAAATCTTTAAGTAGAAAACATTCTGACAGGAGTAAGCCGCATACGTGTATGTGTGTATAGACGTTTTTTCAGACTTATATTTCAGGATGAAAATTTGCTACGACGTAGGCGCATCAAATTCCGTCTTCGGGATCGGATTTTATGGTTGTTCAGGCGTTACAGTTTGTGGATTCTAAGGGTTCTGTGGTACACCATGAATCTAGCAAGGACGGCTCACCGTGACCTTGCGTCACGCATCGCATATCGCCAACATGCAAAATCCGGAAACCGGACCCTTAACCCCTCCTGAAACCCCAAATTCGCCAAACTCCGACAGCATAAATCCCCAGTGCAACAAATCCTTAACAATCGGTACTCCAAGCAAGGCTGTAGAATTCTTTTATCTAGGTTCTTAATACAGGGTTTCGGGTTTTAGGTTCAGGTTTTTAGGGTTCAGGGTTTTGCCTACAGAGGTACTTGGATTAGACCCCGATTACTAAGTCCCTTCACCCTCCAAGTACGGTCTTGCCCAGGCCCTGCGCCGCCTCGGCCCAGCTGTGGCGACCAGCATTTTCCTCCGGTGAGCGGGACATGTTCCTAGCTGTCTCCGGAGTGGTACAGACCTGGCAGCGAGCGCAAGATTCGCAACAAAAGCTCTCGGTGCCGGAACGTTCAGGGTTGAGGACCTGTTTAGGGTTTAGGACCTGTTTGGGGTTTGCCTGCAGCAGCTATGCAGCGGTCTTTTTCTGAGCTAGAACTCGCAGAATTTGTGAAATTGCAGTCGAAACGTCCACCAGCAACGGTTTCGACTGTTGAAGTGACACTGGTGTTGGTGGTAGTGGCTGTACTGATGCCGGCAGCGGCGGTGGCGAGGAGGGGAGTTGTGGTCAAACAGTTGTCGTCGGGATTGTAGTGATGGCGGGAGCAGGAGTAGTCGTAGTCGTAGTAGTAGTAGTAGTAGTAGTAGTAGTAGTTGTTGTTGTTGTTGTTGTAGTACTACTACTACTACTACTACTACTACTACTACTACTACTACTACTACTACTACTACTACTACTACTACTACTACTACTAGCAGGAGTCGTAGTAGCAGTAGTAGCAGTGGTAGCTGCCTAAGTTTCGATGGTTTTGTTTTCGACACCTCTCGTATGTTGCTGTACGGCATAGACTCTACAGCCTTGCGGGCGCTGTTGACATATCGCGACCGTGCATCTGAGACAAGAGCTCTCTATTTATCGTCATCTGCCGCATTGCCAACTGCATGTGAAGCTCGTGCGTAGTTTTGAGATGGAGATCTATTTTACTGATATTACGAACTGGATGACCTGGAAACACCCAAGGAGTGCTGTCCGCCTTGCTTGTTGCATGCCACAGACTCCCATTTCCTAAACCCTATGCTTTGGTTACCCGCCCGCGCCGGACTGAATACCCTTTGGCCCTCAGCTTGCTTTGGACCAGTGAATACTTGCAAATGTCGGTGGGGAATACCTGATGACCGCGCCTGGTCGGTTAGGCCATCTGGCAAAGTAGCTCGGGCTTGGTTTAGTTTTGGATGCTGAAGGTTTCAAGACACACATCCGGTTTGGAAGTTCTGTTGCTGGGGTTGGTTTGGGGTTTAGAGGTTCAGGGTAGCAGGGCTTGTGTTTGAGGTTTCTCATGCAGACTCAAACCTATAGAGTTCAGATTGCACGGCCACGTGTTGCAGACCGGGCTCCCTGAAGCCACCTCCAACTCACAGGGCTTAATATAAGGGCCTTAATAATTCAAATGGGGTTCGGGGGCCCACTGTACTAATAAAAATACATAATAATCAGGACCACCAAAATAATATGGGTAATTATCAGGGCCCCTACACTACACATCGTCATCAGCCAGACGACCTTAGGCAGCAAAAGAGCACGTAGCAGTCCAAGCCTTACATGCGAGAGAGAGAGCCAATCGAAGAGCACGCCCGGCTTGAGACAAAGACCACCCCGTAGTCGAATAGTGTGTGGCCTCGTGCGGGTTTTAGCCGCCGAGAGGATTGAGTTTCCAGAGTACACAACATCCTGAAATGATCAAGAATTCGGGAGCACTAAAATCTGATTGAAGTTCGCAGCGCTTTCTGCCGGGGGCGGAAAGATCGTGATTTCCGGCCTCAGGGAGCTCCCGGCACTTGGCATGGATAGCGATCGAATCCCTTAGGGATGTAGCGGTTTATAGGGGTTTATTGTGGGTTTATAGGGGTTTATAGGGGTTTAGGGGTTTGTAGGGGTTTATGGGGTTTAGGGTTTATAGGGATTTATAGGGGTTTATAGGGGTTTAGGGACTAGGGTTTTAGGGTTTATAGAGGTTTAGGGGTTTAGGGTGTAGGGTCACTCCGAACTTAAGGACCTCGCAGTGTTGCCACAGTGGGGCCATCGACCTTACACCCTTAAACCCGTACACGGCCTCGACCCCAATCCGCTGAAGCCTCAACTCCTAAACCAAGAACCCCGGAACCCCCAACTGGACCCCAAAGCCCTGAACCCTAACTTCCTAGACCCTTAGCCCGGGCCCCAAAGTGGTTCCTAAACCCTACACCCCTAAACCCTAAACCCCTAGACCCTAAACCCTAAACCCCTAGACCCCACAGCCCATGAAACAGGAAACCATGTCATGGGAAGCACAGCTTGCGGGAGCGATCAGCTCCTTGATCTTCGTGGTCCTGAACTGCGCCCGGTGCCAAGCAACGCTGAGGGCTTCCCTCAACTAAGGTTGGGGAAGGTACCTGTAGTCTCCATTGTAGTTCCTGTTTTTAGTTAACCGTTTTATGGTGGGGATCCTATAATGTAGTTTTTGGTTAACCAAAACAAGGAACTACAATGGAAACTATAGGTATCTTTTCGGAGCATCATACATACATAAGCTTCCGAGATCTTGTCGTACTTAGTATTGAGGCATGTTGCAGGCGCTGTGTGCATTGTCAGGTGTCATTCGATACCATGTTGTATCCCCTGCACAGTAAAACCATACAAGGCCCTTTCGCTAGAGACGCCTCGATTTATCCATAAACCCTAAACCCCCCAAACCCCCCCCCCCCCCCCCAAACCCCCCCCCCCCCTCCCCCAAACCCCCCCCCCCCCGAGCCCCACCTACACCATCAGCCCACAGTCTGGCAGCGTATTGACAGCGATGGGAACTCAGCACATCTCGTATTCTGGGCAATGCTCTTAACACAGTCCCCTGCGCTGCATTCTGAGTCTTCACTAAACCCTAACCCTACCCTAACCCTACCCTAAACCCTAAACCCTAAACCCTAGTCTTCACTAAACCCTAAACTCTAAACCCTAAACCAGAGACCTCAGGAGGCTGAGAGTCTAGGGGCATGTGGTCTTAGATTCAGTGGTTTCTGGCTTCGGGGTGCAGAGGTTCCGTTGTGGGCTCCTGGTGAACAGAAATCCCGGGCCTGGACGTCCAGAACCCCACCGCCGTGACTTTTCACCACTATCTTCGCCTGGTGAGGCCATGAACATCTACACCAAGTGGCTCTTTTCCCCAGGCTGTCGCCGCCTTTGGTCTGGTTTGATTGAAGAGCTTCCGAAAATAGGGGACCCTAATATAGTACCATAAACAGTAGGATCCTTATTGTAACGACCCCAACATGAGGTCCCGCTATTTCGGAAACGCCCATTGGACTTGCAGGTTGCTTTTCGTCGTCCTAGGACCCCTAGGAAGTGCTACGAGGGTTCGGGATATGTAGACCTGCAAGCGTGCCGGCATCCAGGATGTAGTTGTGTTGTAGAGTGGTCTGGAAACATGTCACAACCTTATTCAAAGACACTTCGCACTGGGAATGGGAAGAGGCTTTCTTTTAGAGTGTGTGTAAATCTGTGCATGTATGCATGGATATCTGTATGTAGACAGGCAAGTAGGTAGGTATGCAGACATGCTGACACAGGTACATACTTGCATACATGCATCAACCTAGGTACATACATACCTACATACCTACAGCCCTACACCCCTACGTACCTACATACCTACAGACCTACATATATCGTATACATACCTGCATGTATACACGTATGTGCAATGCAAAAATCGATTAATGAGAGTGTGTGTGTGTGTGGTTCTTCGTGCTTGGACCTCCCACCGGAACATGTCAATCCGCAGATTTTGCAGAAATCGAAGGGGGGGCCAACTGTTAGGTCATGAACGTACTTTATGCATCCCGGTAGAATAGAGCATCAGAGAAGTTTGTGTGAAGACCCCGCGTAGAGCTAGTTCTGGCTTCGAAAACTGATTTTGCGCATTGGATTTGGGATTGCTGGTCATGTCGTTTGGGCGATAGTAACTATGCGAGTTTCGAAGTCGCATAAAATTCTTGGTTCGGAAGCTTCTACAGTATGGTCTGAAATTCCCCTCCACTGGACCTCAGGCTTTCGACTTCTCAGCTTTCTAGAATCCTTGCAGCACTCGACGACAAGCACACTCAATCCGCAAGCCTATGGGCTGCATTAAAGATGTAGAGCCCCTATGCAACCCATATCATATCGGATCTCTCGAACCCTAAGCCCTAAACAAGCTAAACCCCTAATCCCTAAACCCGAACCCTAAATAGACCGCAAACCCACTAACCTCAGCCCCTATAGCCCGAACCCTCTAAAGGATCCATTAAAGGATCACCCTAAACCCTAAACCAGGAACCCCGAAAGAATCCCTCTGTCAGGTGGCGGTAACTTTGCGCTTCCCTGGACCATGCTCACGGTGCAGCAGCTCGAGGCAACCACGCGAGTAATCTTGGGCTCTTCTTCCGGTTTAGGGTTTAGGGTTTAGGGTTTCTATTGACGATAGTAATGGCTCTTGGAAGTATTCCTTCTACCACTACTTTATACCTGTTTTGTTGGTACACTTGTGCATGTTCCTTGTTGCGTTTCGTTTTGTGCGGGTGGTGCATTTCGAGGTTGTTTCTCGCAGTTGAACTCCATTTGCATTATCACTCGAGTCTGAGGACTCTTGTAGCTTTGTAATTGGTGAGATTACAGAGGTCCCGTTCTTCACAGCCATTGGAATTGCGATCGTCCCGCTTATCGTCGGAACCTCCCGCATCTAGCTTTCCAAGCCTTCCCTCTCTGTTCGTGTCAACGCTTCCAGAAGGAGAAGAACAGCAGAACGAATGGCAAAAACGACCGAGACTCATCATTCGTCATGACAATAACAACGATAATCGCGCTCTAAACTTCTGGCGAAGTAGTTATAGTCACTGCGACGATTACGCACTGGGCTGTTGGTGGTCATGTTCACCTCTCGCCGAGACAAGCAAGCAGCATGGGCATGCGGGGGTTATATGGGAGTTTCAAAAAATAGGGGTACCTTATTTTGGGGTCCTTACAATTAATAAGGGTCCTATTGTTCAGGGTACTATTTTAGGGTCCCCTATTTTCGAAAACCCCCCTTTGTTGGAGAGTGAGTAAGTAACAATACTTGTCACCGCAATCCGCCTGCATGTCTGCCATTCTGATAGTCTTGGCACGAAGCACACTCAGAAAAGTTTCATGGAACACAGGCTTAGAACCCGTGGAGGCAGGACTTCACGACCAATGACATCATTTGGGTGGTTGTCAAAATTATGGTCCCTTTTTTGGTCGATATTATAGTACGGCACCTAATATTTAGGGTACCCAAAAAGGGATCCTAATTTTGACAACCACCCATTTGCAAAGTGCATGGATTTAGGTTGACAGACAACACCCGGTAATACAGGCCCTCAGTATTTTCTACTCTAAAACCTTCTACATAATTTGAGCCTTAATAGTTACCTACACCATTTTGGTGGTTCCTCATCAGAAGTATAGCACGTATGAGATGCTCCGAAACCCTAGTCTAATTATTAAGGCCTCCATATTATTAAAGTACCCTTATGGATGCCTTATAGTAGCCCTTATAGACCCCTTTACATGAACCATTTTCTAATCATTAAGGCGCCTAGAGTACCCCTAAGCTGTGGAATAAAGGCTACCTCACCAAGGCCATGCTGCGCAAACTTCAAGCCGCAAACCCCTGAACTCCACTCGAAAGCCCCATGACAGTCAGGGGTGCAGTCATCATGGATTGGAGCTTATAGCTAGGGCCGCTAACTTGCCACAGGTCTCGGGTTTCTAGTTTTCAACATTGGGTGTGTAGCCCCAACTCAATTTGGGGGTCCGGGTATCTTCCCGACATTACTAGTTTACTACGCCGAGAACCCAATCAAGCCTCTCCGCCTCTCCTTTTCGGGGGTGTTTCTTTAAAGGAGGCCCTATCCTAGTAGTAGAGTAGGCAACCTTTAACCTTTTTAGGGGTAGTATAGTCCCTATATAATCCCTACATAGCCCAAAAGGTTAAGCTTTCGTTCCCCAGGATACCCGACAAGTAGGCTATTATTATAGATTATACTTTAGAAGCTGCCCCCACCCTGTAATAGTGACTATAAGGATTATATTAGGGCCCTACTATATTCCTATTATACCACTATTACAGGGTGGGGGCCCCGTCTAAATTATACTCCCCTCAAAGGGGACCCTATTGTAGAACCCCATAGTCACCCTTGGCCTCCCTGCGCCGGAAACCTGGATGTCACTTAAAGGATCATGGGACTTAGTAACTAGGGTTCCTTAAAGGGCTCCTTTAAAGGGGATCTATAGGGGTTCTATTATAAGAAGGGGATTTATAGGGTCTACTTAAGGATCATGGGACTCAGTAACTAGGGTTATAATTAGGGTAACTATACTTATAACCGCAGTTAAGGTACATAAAGCCTTACTTACTAAGTCCCATGATCCTCCCATTATAGACCGCTTATGGATCCCTTGAAGGAGCCCTATTATAGAACCTATAGTACCCTTGGTCTGCCTGCGCCGGAAACCTGGATGTCACCGGGAGGCATTCTTGGTCCTTCAGCCTCTTCTCGCCTGGAAGGCCCTTGGAGGGTCATGGGACTTAGTAAGTAAGGTTTAGGGTTCCTTTTAATAAGGGAGCTATAGGGTTCTATAATGGGGATCCTTAAAGGGATCCATAAGGGGTCTATAATGGGAGGATCATGGGACTTAGTAGGTACGGGCGTAAGTACCTTAATTGGGGTTATAAGTATAGTTACCCTAATTATATCCCCAGTTACTAAGTCCCATGATCCTTTAGGTCGGCCATGTTTTCGTATGCATTGATGTGGGAGTTTCCGAAATAGGGGACCCCAACGTAGTAGCCTGAATAGTAGGATCCTTACTATGAGGATCCCAAAATAAGGTACCGCCCGTGTTCGGAAAACTCCCATGTGGCACTATCGCTGTTATGTTTAGTTTGCGGAGCTGACGCAGTGGCACTGGCAGATGTTTCGGTGTTGTCCCAACTTGGCTTAGCTACTGCATCTCCTTCAGCATTGTTTTTTGCTGACGACTGCCCTAGCTGTGATTGTGTTGTGATGGTAGTAGCCTTTCTGCTACTGAGTCCCGTGACAGGGACGTTGCCGCTTCCATGTTTTTTAGTGCAGCCACACAGCTGCTGTTACGGAAGCTACTGCTCGGCTCATCAGCATTCTCCTGCAATCCTCCTCTCCTACTACTACCAGCAGTGGTAGTGGTAGTGGTAGTTGTAGTTGCAGCAGTAGTAGTCGCAGTAGTCAGTAGAAAAACCCTAAAGCCTAAAGGCCTATGTCGGAAAACCCCAAAGCCTTAGGCCCAAAGCCCTCAAGCCCTGGAGCCCACAACCTTACAGCTTCAACCGCAAAACTTTACAGACCTAAACCCGAACACAATACGACATGTAAGCCTTAAGCTCTAGAGTCCTAGACCCTGCAACCGTAGGTCCCAAAGCTTACAACCCAAAGCCCCAAACCCTAAACGTGATACAGTAGAAGCCAGAAAGTTGGAACATCGTTACCTTCATGCCCTTAAGGTAAAGTATAAGGGATCTAGCATTAATCCTCCTGAAGTCATGTTCCAACTTTCTGGCATCTACTATAGCTGAAGACAGTCAGCTGGCAGGATCCCAGTGGCAACTGCGGGTGGCCAGGTGCCAGAACAAGGCCCTGTTATAGGACTTTTAGGGTGCTCTTGAAGGTTCAGAGGTAGTTATAAGTAGGGGTTTTAAGTAGGGTATAACATAACTATAACCCATATTAGGGGACTTACAACCCCACCTATAGCTACCCATATTAGCGGACTTATAAGCCCACTTATAGCTACCCATGCACCTCCAAGTAGAGGTCTGGGGTTTTGAGATTCCGGGCTTTAGGGTTTAGGGTTTAGGGTTTTAAGGTTTAGGGTTTAGGGTTGAGGGCGCTGGGGTTCTAGGCTCTATGCGGTATCGAGGGTTTGGAGTTTATCGCTTCGAGGTTCGGGGTGTGTCTTGCTTTGCCAGGCTTACAGCCACATGCCTGTCATGAACAGAACTCCCAGCTTGGTGTGTGGTACTTCTTAATTGCAACTCGGTGTTTTCTGGCTACGATGTTCGTCGAAAGCCGTCTTTGCCATCGTCGAAGATCTACCAGGATTGCTGTGTTTCCTAGAGCCCAGACTGCCAATCTACGCATGAACCAAAGAGCTTGCGTTGCTGGAGGCGTAGCACCAGCAGCTCTAGTTCGGCACCACTCACCACCGGTGAAGGTCGCGATGAGGACTGGGGCCGTTGAGGCTTTGTGATATGGGGGCTTGAATAATTACCAACGTTTTTCCTGAGGGCTCCTTTTTTTTATCATGGTCATATAGAACTATCATTGACAATTGTGTTGCGTTCTTGCCATGACTACTTCAAGTATGACCTTCATGGTTTCATGATGATAATCTTAATCACGGTGATTATTACTCCTGTTACTACTATTTCTATGACGATTATAATAAAAGTAAAACATACTCAAAACCCTATTCTACTTATTAAACCCATAAGTTATGTGTATAGACTATTATGGGGACGCTAGAATATACAGTGGACCGGTCAAGATCGCGGATGCCTTTTGGTGAAGTTGTTTGCATCTACTGTCCATAGTTTAAAGTAGGATGTTTTGGTCTAGCACACGATGCCATTCTTGTCAGTAGGTCGACCTCATCCGAGCCTCCAGCTCTGATGTACAGGGTATTTTTACAACCGCACACCCTCCAACGCCCAGTACTATTTCCATGAGTATGACTGGTGGCGGTTATAATTCAAAAGATCGACGTCGACAACAGCCAAAGCAAGCAGCAGGTATTCTGGCAACTAGCACAGAGTCGCGATATCACGTTTCCACTCTTAGAAAGGTTGTCGTTGCTGGCAACACCCAGATGCTGAGAGCCCGGATTTCTTGCTCCTTGTGTTGCAGTTGTCGAGTCCCTGGCAGCCTCCCAGCACTCATTTCTTCACCCCAAGGCCTCAGCCGAGTCGCTAAACTCTTGTGTGAAGCTTGCAGAAATACTCTATAAACAGGCATGTGGGATACGCAAGACGTTATATAACAGCCAGAGTCATCTGAGAACAGTACAAATCGTACATCTTGAGGTTGATTTAACCCTTCGCTCTAAGGTGTCCTGTACCCTACACCCCTAAAGCCGTGAACCCCAAGCCTCAAACAGTATGCTAGCTTCCCCTAAACCCTAAGCCGTATATTATATACCCTAACCCTAAACCCTATATTCGAAACCCTAAAAGGTATATTATAAACCATAAACCTTATATCTCATTCCCTAAATCCCGATAGTATATCATTACCCTAAAGCCCATATTTTCAACCCTAAACCCCTGGCTTCAGATCTTGGGGTCGAGACCTCTTGGAAGCGAGCCGACGCTTGGACCCCCCCCCCCAAAACCTTTGGCCGCGAGGCCTTGGGTCCTTCAGGGTTTAGGGTTTAGGGTTCATGGTTTTAGGGTTTAGGGGTTTAGGGTTAAGGGGTTTAAAGTTCGTGTACCTTGTTGTTACGGGGTCTTGGGGTTGAGTGTACCGCGAAACGCTTGCGCAATCGTCTCGACCTCGAGAACGCCTCGCAAAATCGAGCAGGGCGCACCTTTACGCCGCCGTAGTTGAAAGCAACTCCGCCTGAAATAGCACTTTGATCCCAAATACGACCCTATAAATCCCTAAGACCTAGACCGTAAACCCTATACATCTAGAAGAACCCAGAGCCCTTCAAGCCCCGGATTTGTCGGAGCGGATCGAAGCTGAGAGCCATGGCCGTTACGGAAACCACTCCCTTGGTTCAGGCAGCCAGGGTTTAGGGTTCTATTATAGGATCCTTAAGCGAGGGTGGTTCAAGGGGGGAGGGTACAAGGAATCCTTAGGGGAACCTTAGGGAGTACTAGGGAGAGTTAGGGATCACTAGGCCATGTACCCCCCTTGGAGCCCCCTCCCTTAAGGATACTATAATTCTAAATGGGTGGAGCAGTTGTTTTCTGGTGTTCTCTAAATTCCAAAGGTGTTAGAGTTGTATAGTAAAGGCTGTAGAGTCAGAGTTGTGTCATGGTTTTTGAAGGGGCCTAACAAGGCTTGGTAAGGGATGGTGTTAGTGGTGTTATGATGATTCTGCAAGGGTTCTAGCATGGTTCATAAGGGTTTTGTAATGGTTCTACAAGGCTTTTCACGGGTCCTATATAGTTTGTTGTATAGGGCTTTGTAGTTTTAATTGTTTAGGGCTTTCGGTTTGTCGTGTTTTAGGTCTTTAAGGCTTGAGGGTTCAGCAAGCACGGATTTTCGGTCAGTTTTGTTGATGTTTAAGTGATGGTGCTTAAGGGGTTTAGGGTTTGTAGGGCTTCGACATGTTCGGTTTGGGTGGTGTCTTGAGGTCAGTGAACCAATGCCTGAAGATTTAGGGGTTGGGATTTTGGGAGAGCTTCGCTCCAAGCGCTCTAAGCCCCAAAGCCTCATTTGAACCCCCATACAGACATAACATATCTTTCGCAAACCCAACACAGCCCTTCAGGACCCTGTCATGCATCGTCAGTGTCAATCCTTGGCCATTCTTGGGGATCCGTTTGGCTTCTTGTAGGTTGGGTTCCCGCCAAACCCACAGCGTGAACCGTTTCTCACACTTGAAGACAGGAGTCCATCCGAAAAGGATCCTTGCTTGTCCGTCCTTCCGAGACACGGAACACATTGGCAATAAACCCCGACACCAGCCGGCTTACTTCAAGACCCGGCAACTTAGCGTCTAGGCCTCTAGTAAGGAAGGCAGGTAGCTACCGTCATCATGTGTACTCGCAGCCTCAATTCAAACGGTATGCGGTTTGGGGTTCGGGTTGTAACGTTGAGGTTTCAGAAGTTCTAGCGGCCCCTATATTATAGTACCCTTATAGATCCTTATAGTAACCCTTATAATAGACCCTGTACAAGGAACCCTTTCGGCCGATGGATTCCGACGCGTCGAATCCCCCTGCCTGGGGAGCTGTGGCACTGCTGTGCATCTTCTATGCCACAGGAGGAGTGCGCAAGTGGCTCAGTGCAGATCAACACAATCATAGCCGTCAAGAGCTACGTCGCCAGAACGAGTCAGATTAGTTTTCCTTGGAATTTCCGAGAATGGGGGACCCTGATATAGCCCTACTAAATATTAGGATCCTGATTATAAGGACCCCAAAATGGGGTACCCCCATTTCCGGAAACTCCCAAAGGCCCCGAAACCCTGTTTTGAGACTCCCAAAGGCCCCTACGAGATTGCAGGGAAATGGGAGGGCTCAAGCTTCGGAGAGTCATGGCGTGTGGTTTCCATTTCAGGTGGCGAAAGTCTAAAGTTTAAGAGATCTTGGGCATCTAGATGGAGTTTTATCGGGCTTGGGTTTGGTTTTGGCGGTCAGGGGTTGATTCGGTTTAGGTGTTGGCTGTTGCACCCTTCCCCGCGGAGGGCCCAATACCCCTTAAACGACGTAGCGATTGAGGGGTTCAGGGGTTTGGGGTTGAGCAGGTGTCTAAGATTTCAGGTGTATTCCCGAATCAAGGGGCATTGCCGTTAGGAAAGCCTAATTTAGGGGTCGGCAAACCTGCCAATTGTATCTCTGTGTCGTCTCCACGACAGGTACAACAGACTGTACCCCCAAAGCTATGAAGGCCCTTCTACTACAGCAGAGACTACAGCCCTCGTGGCATTGCTGATAGAAACCTTCATAGAAATCCCCTAAAAGAACCGTAAAAGGAACCCTTAAAGGAGCCCCACGCAGGCCCACCAGAGCCAAAACTCCGAGGGACCTCCCCCGAGCCTTGAAAACACCCGTCCTCCGAAGCCTGCAACCTCTGAGATGAAAGACCCAAGGGCATCAGATACTTAAAGGATCATGGGACTTAGTAACTAGGGTTCCTCAAAGGGCTCCTTTAAAGGGAATCTATAGGGGTTCTATTATAGGGTCTACTTAAAGGATCATGGGACTTGGTAACTAGGGTTATACTTGGGGGTAACTATACTTATAGCCCCAATTAAGGTGCTTATAACCTTACTTACCAAGTCCCACGATCCTCGAAGTATAGACCCCCTTATGGATCCCTTTAAGGAGCCCCATTATAGAACCCTATAGTACCCTTATTAAAAGGGAACCCTAAACCTTACTTACTAAGTCCCATGATCCTCGAAGTATAGGGTTGATGATGTACATCCTGCATTACCTTAAGGACCCTAAACTATGGGAAATATGGTATATTCCTGATTATGGGTAATGCAGGGTTTATATCATCAACCGTAGGGTTTAGGATGGGTTAGGGCCAGCTAGGGTTTAGAGTTTCGGGTGGTTTCGAGTTTAGGGCAGTTCGTGTTCAGGGACGTTTGTTTTTGATGCTTACTAGGCTTCCGGGTTTCAGTGCCCTGATTCTGGCAGAGATTCATCCTAAACCGTTAGGCTAAGTGACGAGGGTTCTCCTACGAAGAGCCGCGAAACGAAAACGGAAAACCCGGGGCCTGATGCAACAAACGGTTCAGGCCCGCTCGATGCAAAACTCTTTCGAAGCTTGAACCTAGTAGAGTAAGCATCCTCTAACCTTTTTGGGGTACGATAAGCCCTAAATAATCCCAATAAACTCCCACAATTTCTGGAAAAGTAGGTTTAAACCCAACCCTAAACCGACAAACGCTGGACCGTACGCTATGAATCCTCTGAGAGAAAGCCTTGAGAGAGGAGTCTGCACGGTCTTCTCGGTCTTCATCCGAAATCAGGCGCGGCTGCAGTTTAGCAGGGTTTAGGGTTTAGGGGTGTAGGGGTTTAGGGGTTTAGGGTTTCGGGTGGTTTCCCTGGGTGGTCTTTACTTCTGCGGGTAGGGTCCTGCTGCAACTCAGAGCGGCACTAGTGTGCACCAGCACAACGTACCGCCGACAAACATGTGTGCAGACTGAGCTGAAGAAAGAGGGTGTTCGTACTAGGTGTAGTATCAGTAGTAGAATTTGAAGTCGGCGTCGTCTCAGTCAGAGGTAGGTTGCTAGGCAGGCAAGAAGAAAGGCAGGTAGGAGGAGCAGTTGGAGTAGGAGGAGGAGCAGTAAAGTAGCAGGCGTAGAAGTAGCAGCAGAAGCAAAAGCAACACTAGTTGAGAGCCCAAGTCAAACCCGAAAGTTAGGGCTACCATGATTTGATGGGGATCTGACTTTCAGAGCACCTTTCGACAAGGCGTAGTTGAAGCTCTGCTACAAAGCCCATTCGTTCTCAATCGCAGAGTTTCTAAACCCTAAACCCTAAACCCTAAACCCTAAACCCCTATACTCCGTGCGCAAGCCGCAGACCGCGTTTGAAGGTCCAGTCGGTACATGGGTGGTTGTCAAAACTAGGATTCCTTTTTGGGTCCTTAATATATTACGGCACCCAATATTTAGGGTACCCAAAAAGGGACCATAATTTTGACAACTACCCACCTGCATAAGCTTGCAGCCACGAATCCGAAGCACCTTCAACTCTCCAACGCCGCACCTTACTCACTGTTGTAAATCAGGTTCAGAAACCTGTGTTTGCCATATCAACCCTTTTGAGTGCCTTTTAACATAACCGAAATTAAGTTAAGCCTGTATAAACCCCAAACTTGAATGAACCTGCAGCTGCAGAAAGCCCAGGTATCCGAAACTTTGGGCGCAAATGTGGACTTCGTCAGCGAGTGTGGCTGCGCCCAAAAGTGGTCCTAGGGCTTTGGGTTTGGTGTTGTTTCCACTTTTATTGCGGTCTGCATGGTTGTAGCAGGGATCGTTGCAGGCTTCACAAGGTTACTAACTTCTGCGACTGGGTTCTGAACAGTTTCACATTGTGTTCAGTGGGGTTATGGATGACATCCGGAATGATGTTTCGAGGGCACTATGCTTGAATCGTGCAGGCATTGCTCAAGAAGCATATTGCGGTTGATGCTATCGAAGTTCCTTATCGGAAGCGACGGCATCGGAGCGAGTTTAGAGGCACATGTTACGTTTCGCCTTGAGCATTCGTAGTGGTGTATGGGTGGTTTCGGCAGGGGGACAGTCGAGCAGCAGAGGATTTACAGTTTAGGTCCTTTTGGGTGGTTGCTTAAAGAATCATGGGGTTTAGTAACTAGGGTGATAATTACAGAAACTATACTTATAACCCCAATTAAGGTACTTATAACCTTACTTACTAAGTCTCATGATCCTCCAATTGCGGGAAGTTTGAATAGGAGCGTTTAGGAGCCTGAGCCAAAGCCCAAATGCCCCACAGCCCCAGCCTTAAGACTTTACCAAGCCCTATTGCGGGAGGCTGCGCCAGGTTGAGGGCTACAGTACAGATTCGATGATGCGGTAGCGTATAGCGTATTTGGCTTCAGGGAATGCACAGATCTCGCTGTGCAGACAGTGCTCTTGCGGGTCGCCCTTGATTTCAATAACCTCATTCCGCAAACGCAGTGCTAACCCCCAGACCGTAAACCAGGTCAGTCACTCTTCTGGCTCGGCTATGTCGCATCGACCATGATGTTGCTGCAACTCTTCTGCGATGTGATGGAAATTTTCGTGTAATACAGCGAACGCAGAACTATTTGCTCCTGCGTCTGTGTATACTTGTAGTCGAAAAGCAACACCAAAATTTAGTTTCGTTCTAGTTCCTGCGCAGCCGTAGTAGATATTCCGACAAGAATCCGGGTCATATTGTCGAAGTCTTAGTACCCTAAACAGTAGGATCCTGATTTCAAGGACCCCAAAATAAGAAATAAGAAACCCCAAACTTACAGAAACTCCCAAATCTGCAGCCAGTTTAGGGTCTCGGGGATGGCTTGGGACTGCACCGACCCGGCAGAACTTTATATGCTAAACATACATGGGTAGTTGTCAAAATTGGGTCCCTAACATAGTACGGCACCTAATATTTAGGGTACCCAAAAAGGGACCTTAATTTTGACAACCACCCACATGCCTGCATCATGAATAGAGGTTCCTTGGTAAGAGCCCCTCATCAAAAGTAGAAATTTGTGCTACCCTGTTCCAAGTTTGAAGGCCCCTGTATTGGCTTAGGATATGGCTGTTAAGTCTGTAGGATGCAAGAGCCTGCTCTGCTAGACTCGACGCCGTGCTGTATAGACGCTAGCTGCGCCAAGAAAAGACTGCATCCGTCACTAGGATGCCCAGTAGTACCCTTATTCCCTTTTTGTAGTCCTAGGTTCCTTATAAAGTTACCCAATACCAAAAAGACCTTAGGTTACTGGGTATCCTAGGTTATATTGCCTGCCTACATGGACGGCTTGGTAAAGCTACGGAAAGCAGAGTTCACCTAAATTGATTGCCGGATTGTAAGACGCTGCCCTTTTTCGAGGAAGGCTTAGCCCTTAATGCATGCAGTCTGTGGAGGAAAGGCATACTATAGGGGCCTTAATAATTTAGAATAGGGTTTTGGGGCCCATTATGCAATGATTATCATAAGGAGCCCCCAAAATAGTATTAAGGCCCCTATTGTAGCCCCATAGTAGCCTCCCGATCCGAAAGCCCAACTCCGAACGACCCAAGAGCCGATTCTGCACTTTCAAAGCCAGCTCGTAATATGGGGGCTTTAATAATTACTTACACTATTTTGGGGGTTCCTTAGTATAATTATAGTAGCATGGGCCCCAAAACCCTAGTTTATTGATTAAGGCCCCTATATTAGTCGTAGCCCTCACAGCATGAAAGTCCGAGGTGAGGAAAGCACACAGAGACACGCAGAGACGATCCGGTCACCACTCCTAAAACCCCCGGCCCGTCTGCATGAGACTATCACAGGCCTGCCTTCGACACATACGGGCGAAAGAAGCCCTTCTTTCTAGCGGGCTGGATTGGCTCCTTGTTTGCAGATGCAGGGGCTTCAGGGGGAGACTTGATTGCTTTTGTTTTGGATTTCAGGATCGGGGTCATTGGGTAAGCTTTGGCGGGTATGGTTGCCATTTCGATTTGCTTCTGTAGGGATCTTCGGAGACCACTCATGCCCTAGACGTCCGCCAGTGCTGCTACCACTGCTGATGACTGCTGCGCCTATGCGTATTCAATGGCTACAGCATTGCAACAGTTGCTGCTGCCACCACAGCCGCCACGACTACGACGACGACCACCATTGCCGCCGTCGCCCCCACCGCCGCCACCACCACCACTGTTACGACCATGACCACAACGACGACCATCACTACTAGGAGTCACTACTACTGCTGCTATTACTTGTGCTACTACTACTACTACTACTACTACTACTCCTGCTGCTGCTACTACTACTAGTACTACTAGTACTAGTGCTACTACTGCTGCTATCTCCGCCTACTCCTACTCCTACTCCGACTCCGACTCCTACTCCTACTCCTACTCCTACTCCTACTCCTACGACGACTACCACTTCTGTTTGTGGACTTCCCGAAACCCTGACCAGATATGCGGTCTCCGTCCTGTACCCTCCATCAAATTTGCGCTTCCGAGGGTTGTTTGCAGCCGGCGTGTCCTTCCTGACAACAGAAGCCTGGGTCTACGCGCTCTGCCAGTTCATGCGCCCGGGCTGCTTTAGGGATGTCTGGTGGACGGGGACACAACGGCTTGTCTGTAGAGGTCTCCGTTTGCTTGTAAGCATGAGTGCCTCCACCCTTCGGATTAAGGATTAAGCATGATTCAGCGCTGTACCTTGAACCGTCGAAGGAAACCCGCTGAGCGTTCGCGATTTCGCGATTCCGGGCTAAGTACTTCCTGATGATGGGGGATGCGTAGGTCGGCGGGTTGTGAGCTAGATGCAACAAGTGTAAGCTTCCCTTTCGCTTGCAAGCTAATCCCCGATCCTTTGTGCCCGGCGGGTCGTACTCGCAGTCGAATGCTTCTTCTTTTGACCTCTGTAGGGTCGGAATTGTAAGCACCAAGACAAAGCCGACACCTTTTGCGGGTTGAGGGAAATGCCAGCATCCCCAGTCACCCGTCATCCCCGTAAGCTGCGAAACACGTTGGCTGAATCCTGAAGCCTACAAGGCCGCCGGAAAGCCCACTACAAAAGATCGAACTTCCACCGGTAACACCTGCAAAGTCCGATGAACCCCTATACGAAGCTCATGAAACATCCAAACCTCAGGCCCTAAACCTTAAACTCTGGGATGAGGATCGGCTTCTCCCTCATGCCTGTTGGGAACATGTCCTATGTCTGGGCATCGGACCGGCTTTCAAGTTGTTCTTTTGTGTTTGCAGGGTTCGCATGAGGGTTGTTTAAGGTTTTGCGACGCTTCGGGATTCTACTTGGAGGATCATGGGACTTAGTAAGTAAGGTTATAAGTACTTTAATTTTAAGTATAGTTACCCTACTTCTAACCCGTGTTACTAAGTCCCATGATCCTTAAGTAGATCCTATAATAGAACCCCTATAGAGGATCCCTTTAAGGAACCCTGGTTACTAAGTCCCATGATCCTTAGTGGGGTCGGTTGAGGGATCTCGGGCCTTACGGGTCTCAGGGCTCAGGAGGGTTCGACAGGACCTTACGCTCGAATAGCGTCCGCAAGCAAGTTGTAGCGAGAAAAACATAGGTGGTTGTCAATATTAGGGTTCCTTTTGGGTCCCTATTATAATACGGCACCTAATATTTAGGGTACCCAAAGAGGGACCCTAATTTTGACAGCCACCCGTGTAGATGTCGAAGCTGCCTTTGCAGCTTGCGCCGATGCTTCCCAGCACGAGCTACGAAGGGCAGCAGGAAAGCCCAAGCTCCGATTCTCAAAGGGGAAAAGGAGGGACCCTTAATGAGGACCCCTACCCCTGGGTATACAATGGCCGTATTAAGGGTATATACCTAGGGTCCTTATTAAGGGTCCCTCCTTTTATCCTTGGAGATTCGGCTCCGCGGTGGTTGTTCCAACCCTCAGCCCTGAACCTGCAACGCCGTACTTAAAGGATCATGGGACTTTGTAACTATAGGGTTATAAGTAGGGTAACTATACTTATAACCCCAATTAAGGCTAGGTACTTATAACCTTACTTACTAAGTCCCATGATCCTCCAAGTAGCGTTCCTAGAGAAGTTCCGCCCACTCACCCCCCGTCCACCCACCCCACCCAGCCGCTCAGCGTAGTGTGTAGGCTGCCTACTCCTGGCCTTGTGATGCCTAAATGCAACACCTGAAAGGAGCTCGTCCCAGCCAGCAGTCACAACAATGTCTGCTCAATTTTCAACATCTGTGGCTTTGCTGCACAGAGGAGAGGTAGCGAGCAGCATGAATGGGGCAGTACAGTCAGTACAGGCGATGAATGCCGTTGTCATTCTGGCAAGAAGAAGAAACGCTATGAAGGTAGCAGTGAACTGCCATCAATATAGTAGTTTAGTCGCAGAAACAACTAGAAGAAGTAGAACGAGTTCCATGCTACATTTGCCGGCAGGGCCTGCAGCGTTTCGATTCCCGTGGAATGGCTTGTTTTGAGGCCCCCAACCCACAACCATCAAACCCTAAGTCCCTAAACCCTCAGGGGCAAACTGGGAGACGGTCTGGTGCGAGCTATCTTGTTGAGCAGTGCCGGTGCCGTCATAGAACTTGGCATGATGCTTTCCAATGTTTATGGGGCTCAAAGCTCTGTCATTCAGACTGGAGATTTCAGTGAATCTGCACTGCCACGGCGTATTGCTGTCGGGCTAGGCACCAGAGCATTAAGAGGCCGTAAGGGTTTTGGATTTAGAGCGTGGGGTTTTAGGTGTATTGAGTTGTTTTGCGTTTGGAGGCTACAGTGCCGTGTGCGTCGGCATGGCCGCTTGGTTGCAGGGGGCCGAAGCAAGTCACGTGCAATCGCTGCTGTTGCTAGTTCTGCTGCAGAGTTGCCGTGGCTGAACTGAAGATGGATGGATTGATGGATAGTGGCTAGGTGAGGGGCTCCAGATGGAGTTCAGGTTCCCGACGGGCTATTCAAGCACACCTGTCCTGACCACTACCACTTGTGTTATGACAAGTGATACTCGTACATGCTGCTTGAAAGGAGAAGCAAGCATGCATCCCGGTTCTCATGAGCAACAAACACGTTGGAGTCGTAGTTCGGTTCCGAGCACAAGATCGTGTGTCATGGCCTCATGCAAGTGACAACTACTGCGACGAATACGAAATGACGACTGCATTTCTCGTCTCACAGTCTTCGTAGTGGTGCCGGAGGCAGCACCAAAGCAACACTGGCTGATTGTCAGCATTCTTATCTCGCTGTCATGGCAAGCCGTGACAAGACTTGATGAGCAAGCAGTCGTATTACTGTCAGTTTCGTTCTCATACCGAGGCTGCCGGTTAAGGCCAAAGGCGCAGTAATGCAGACCCGACGCTCGAAACGCTGAACCATAAAGGCTAAACCCTCCCTGAACCCTAAACCCTAACCCCTAAACCCTAAGCCCTAAACCCTACGCTACCCGAAATCCGCAAACCCCAAGTGGACTCTTGCCCAGGCCGCTGCCAGCTATGGCATGAAGGAGACATGGCTTGGTATAGGGCGCGGCTTAAGTGGTTCAGGGCTTCAGGCTTTACGAGTTTATGTGTTGGGGTTTAGGGGTTTAGGGTTTAGGGGGTGGCCGAAACAATCGGGATTTCAGCAGACTCAGGCTTTCAGCACGGCTTCGACGAGCACATGATGTACATGTTTAACTAATGGACTAGAGGATGGGTCTAGCCTTTAGGCTGTAGGGTTTAGGTTTTCGAATCTTTACAGAGGCACTGTCTAAGATTTGGCCTTCGGGCTTAGGGCAATTTGACGAATGCTTTTGGATAGAACCCCGCACCCAGCCAATAGGTCCGGGTGTTTGACCAAGTTTTGTGTATTGACAGTTTGGGGCCAACACTAAACTGAAAACAACCCTGAACACCGAAATCCTGAACATCGAGCGAGGGCAAAACACATGTGCATACCTGCCCTGAAGCTCATAACCCCTTGGACCCTACCATGCTTCAACCCCCAATCGTAAGGCATTTAGTTTTCCCAAACCTCCCGCCCAACACCCTAAACCCCAAACCCTAAACCCTAATCCCAAACCCAAACCCTAAAAACGGCGCAGGACACCGGGATCTCGTGGCAAGTTCAGCAGGCGCTCTGGTACCTTCCTGTGGCTCCTTGGCCGGTTTTAGGTTGCAGGATGTTTCACTTGGGAATCTCATTATGTCTTGGGGGCTTAAGTTAAATTACTGGCGCTAAGGGCCTCAGTATGTCAAGAATGAGGTTATCAGTGAGAAAACCGCAGAGCAACTGCAGTGATGATTCTGAAAGCTTGCCTGTGCGATGCCAGCGTCCAGCAACAGCCGTAGAATTCACCAAGACTAATATAGCGCGCGGCTTGAGTATTGATTTACTCGCTGGCATCACTACATTTGTAGTTTCTTCCTGCGGATCGAACAGGAGTTGCCTTTATGCTGGAAGGGTTCAACAAGGTTTCGGTACTTGCTTCGGGCTATCAGCCTCACATGTCCACCTGACTTCATCCATCCAGTTTCGCCAACCCGAAACCTCCACCCAACGTCATGGGTGGGTGTCTGAATCTGCCGAAACCTTCAACCCCTCACCAGGAAACCCGACACCCCAAACCCCTAAACCCCTAAGCTCCTAAACCCTAGACCCCTAAACCCTCAACCACTGAATCCTAAACCCCTAAACCCCTGAACCCTCAAGCCTAAAGCCTAAATCCCAAACCCCTAAACCCTAAAAACATGAACCCTAAACCCTAAAGGACCCTCAACCCCCAACCCCTGAGCCCTAAAGGACCCTAAACCCCTAAACCCCTAAACCCTAAAGCACCCTAAACCCCTAAACCCCTGAACCCTAAAGTGGAGTCGAAGGCACTTGGGCTTTTGGCCGGGCCCTTCCTGGTCCCAGAGTCTCTGGAGCCCTGGGCAAGAGTAACTATTACGGAATGTACTTGGAGTTATAAGGGTTCCATTAAGGGTCTCTTTAAAGGGATCTGTAGGGATTCTATAAGAGTATAGGGTTTAGGGCCTGCTTGGAGGTTCATGGGTAGTTATAGGTGGGGTTATAAGTCCCCTAATATGGGCTATACGTCCCCGAATATGGATTTGTTCAAGGGTTTGGGGTTTAGGGTTTAGGTTTTTCAAGGGTTACTATCAGGGCTACTTTCATGGGTATGATAATGTTGCTTCAAAGGGTTCTATAAAGGGTATCATAAGGGCTTATCCCACAGGGCATGGCATATGTGCAGAGCTTCGTTTGCATGATGCATGTCCAGACCTTCCATAGAATAAGATCGTTTCATGGTGTATTACATCCACATCTTTTTAGTTATTACTGTTCCAGACCACTTACTTGGAGGTTCATGGGTAGTTACAAGCAGGGTAACTATACCTTTTTACCCATATTACGGGACTTATAACCCCACTTATAACTACCCATGAACCTCCAAGTAGGCCCTAAACCCTATGCCCTCATAGAATCCCTACAGATCCCTTTAAAGGGACCCTTAAAGGCACCCTTATAACAATCCATGAACCTCCCAGTACAAAAGCTTCCGGCAGGTCGCGGGGTCGGATCGGCGGCTTAGCAAACCCTAAACCCTAAACCCTAAACCCTTAACCCTAAACCCTAAACCCTATGGCTACGGCTCAAGCCGTATGGCCCGAGACTTTTACCCGATTCCTGTTCCTGTCAGCCTCGCTGTCATTTCGTCCTCGAGGCGGCCAGTGCGACTTCCTGGCGGGTGAGTTCATCTTGACTTGCGGGAGAAGCAGAAGGTCATCTTGCGGCCAGATCTTCTTTGCGCAGTACCACTTCCTGGGGCGACCTTGTGCTCTTCATCGTCATCTTTGTGCATCAGCGGTCTTCTAGGTTTCTTCCGGGAGGACTTAGGGACTTGCCTGCTCTGCTCCCTCTCGGTGCTTCTCTTTCTCTCCTCCGGGAACGTGATGTCCGAGCCCATGGCAGTCGACGGGGTGGTGGAGGTCGGGTCGCCCACTGAGCTTGCGGAGGAGTCTGAACAAGACCTTGAGTTGGAACCGAAGATTGAAAAGCGGAAGAGGGAGCCCAAAGTGAAGCGTGAAGGAGGAGCAGCAGCTGGGGATAAGCCTATCCCCGAGACTGACGACGAGGAGGAGTTTGACAGCCCGTCCAAGCGGGCATCGAGAGCTGATGATCAGCCGATCTCGGCGAGAGAACTTCGTGGTCTTCTGTCAGAACATCGTCAAGAACTGAACCGTTCCTGGCGAGTGTTCGAGTCGCGCATCAGCAAGATCGAGAGCCAGCATGTAAGCCAAGTTGGTCAAATTGCTTCGCTGAGTGGGAAGGTCAAGATCTCTGAGAAGGACATCGCCGGGGTCAAGGCGGGGCTCTCCAAGAATGAGAAGAAGGTCGACAAACTCGCCGAAGAGGTTGCCAGCATGAAAGTTCAGCTTGAGGACGTCAAGAAAGGGGGGAGTGGAGCGAGCAGCCATGAGAAGACTGCAGGGACGATCATGGGCGGAATTGGGGAGTTTGGAAACGATCCGTGGTCCGACTACCTCAAGAAGAACCGCTTGGGCGCGAATCCTCAAGCCAGTGCTCTTCCCTCCTCTGGGGTGAACTTCTCTCGTGCCAATGGGGGAGACCTTGAGCGTCAAGACCAACTGAGCGACGAGGACAGGCGGACGCTCATTATTGGAGGATGGCTTCAGGATACCAGACGGAACACGATTGAAGAGGAGGCTGCGATCCTCCTTGCCAGGCCTGAGGTCAAAGAGTTGATTGACGTGGACAAGTTGGCGATCTTTGGGCCCCGTAGAAGCGTCGGCATGTTGCGCTTCAAGATCAGGGACGACGAAGGCTCATTCGAGGAGGTGAAAACGAGAATGTGGAAAGTTGTCAAGGCCGTGTCGCAGATGAAGCTCGTCGTTGAGAGTGCAAAAGCGCTTGGTGAAGATCGGACAATGTGGGCGGCATTTGTGAAAACGAAAGTTGCTCGTACACGGTCAGCCCATATCAGTATGGTGAGGAGAGTCTGCATGTCTCTGGCCGCCGACGCGAAAGATGAGAACGGCGGTGTCCTCAACCTTGAGCATACTCAGACGGGGGCGTATGACATGGACTGGAACGCAGGGACGATATGGAGCGGCATACACAAACTGGCTTCCTCGACTCACAGGTCACCTAAAGATGCCGAGATCGTCACGATGACTGGCGGCTGGGTGAACTTGGACGCTGTAGGGCTGATCGCGAGTTGTGATGCAGAGGTCGCGAAAGCGGCCTTTGAGAAGGAACTGTGAACCAATTGGGAGGAGTCTTTCACCCCTCCGATGCGGGAGGACTTGCATGAGACGTCCTATGTCAACACGACACGGGATGCACCTAGCTCTGGAAGACAATCTAAGATTCGAAAACCAGAGCCTTCTTCAAAGTGTGGAAGACACTTATGGGGACGAATTGGACAGTGGAATGTGGCTGGTCAAAAACTCGATCTTCTTGATGAAGGGGGGAGAGATCTTGATGTTATCTGTGTACAGGAAGTTGCCCGAGGTGACGCCGGCTGGGACACTCAGGACAGTGCCCTGTTTCACTGGATCATACATAGAAAGGCCAATCATTACAGGGGTGTAGCAGTCGGGATCGCCAACGACAAACTTGACTCCGTGATCTCGAAATCTGCAAGTGGAAGGGGAATTTGGATCTTGGCTAGACTCAAAGGGATTGGGCGAGTTGCCCTCGGTACTATGCACGCACACACTGGGGCCACGAACGCGATCTATCAGGCGGCGGCCCATGAGTTCGTTGAAGCTTGTCCGAAGAAGTGGAGACAATATCCGCTTATCTGTGGGATCGACATGAATGAAGAAGTTCGATGGATGGAATCTGAAGATGCCTCCACCACGGAATTGACTACTTCCTCGACCAACCTGAATGTCTTTGCGCATGTTCTCACACAACTGGGATGCCGAGCCCTACCACCTCGTCGAGACCAGTGGCGGACTGCAACACACTATCCACGAGATTCGAGTCGGGCCGGCAGACAGATCGACATGTTGTGGACACGAGGCTGCGAGATGGACATCGTAACGATTGACCCTGAAAGAAGACATGTGATCGGGAGCGATCATGCCCTTCTTCATGCCTCGTTGTTCTCATCGAGGCCAGTGCTCAACAAGTGGGGGAATGACTCTCGACCAAGATTCATGGCCTCAAGGATCCCGGACGACTTTGTGGTGCTTGATTCCAAGGACATCTCTGAACTGGGAAGAAAGTGCACACGCCCACGCCCTGGACGCTCGTACAAGGACAATGAGGAAGTGAAGTCCCTTGTCCGTGAAGCTCGAGCCTCCGGCGATCCGAAGATATGGAAGAAGGCACACCGAGAACGCAGGAGATGCAAACGGGAGTGGGAACAGCAGCGCCTAAGTGAAATACTACATGGAGACTGGCAGCAATACCGAACTCTTCAACGAGAGAAGTCCCGACGAAAAGGATGGTGGGGACGCATGCTGGAGAGTTGCACCGCCCAAGAGAACACCGACATGGTCAAAGATCACCTCGCCAAGAAATTGGTCAACGAATTTGGGGAGGATTGGGACGAGCTTCTACAAATGCAAATCGATGCAGTTCAGCCTCGGGATGCATTCGTTCCCTTCTCTTTGCCGGAAGTGCGGGAGGTACTCTCTTCAATGAGAACGTGCTGCGCAGTTGGACCTGATGGCATAGGCGTTTCACTACTTCGCGAAGCTTTGAGTCACGATTTCGTCGGCCCTCAGATCCTGGACCTAGTGAACCACATCGTCGAGAAACTAGAGTTCCCGCCTGAATGGGAAGACAATTTCCTTGCGTTGCTGGCGAAATGCACAACGCCTACCAAGCCGGGGGACCTGCGCCCCATCTGCGTCAGCTCAGTGTTCCACAAGATGATCACGAAACTTGTTTGTCAAAGGACTATGCCGTCAATCAGGCAAGGATCCCGGATTTCTGGGTGTGGAAAGGGCCGACAAGCTGCAGATGTAATCGGGGTGATCTCTCGTATTAGAGATGTCACGAAAGAATGGCACTTACCCGTCTTGTTATGCAAATTGGACATCTCAGGGGCGTTTGACAGGTTGGATCGCCAGAAAGTCGTGGAGTTCCTCAAAGATCGTCTGGGGAATCTTGGCATGGAGCACGAGCTCAGGTTCTTGTTGGCCCAGCTCCGCACGTATAACCTGCGAGGTCAAGTTCCAGGAGGTCATGAGATCAACATCCGCCCTAATATTGGGATTAAACAAGGGGCCCCTGAGAGTGCAGAAGTTTTTGGACTCGTCATGAACGACATCCTCACTTCGTTGGTTGACCATGAGCTGTGGATGAAGTTCGGGAAACCCCTGGCTGGTCTCGACATCGAAATGGTCTTTTATCAGGATGATATCTTCATGATTGAGACGGAATTGGGACGCCTGGGGAAGCGCATCAAAGTCCTTGAAAGATGTCTTGCTCGCCATGGTCTACGTCTAGCCACAGAGAAGACCAAGATCGTGGCTTCTGCTGACTACAAAGGACCTCGCAGAGTTAGCGTGGGAGGATCATTTCTTGAGATCTCAGGCAAGGGGGAGTCCGTCAAAGTGCTGGGCCTGTCCTTCAACCTGCAAGACTCGCCCTCTCAGCAAGCAAAGGAGATCCTTCAGAGGACAAGAACAGCTGCCGCAGAACATCGTTCCATCCTACGTGGGCGTGCGAGTTGGGCAAAAAAGGCGGAGATGATTCGCAGCCTAGTTGAATCCCAATTCGCGTGGACTGGGGGTGCCCTCCATTGGGCACGGGAAGACCTTCAGCAGGCAAACACCGCCCAACTACAGATACTTCGCAGCGCCTTCCGCATGGGCAGAGAGAAAGATGAAAGTTGGGTCGACTGGAACTGTCGCACACTTCGGCACGTTCGCTCCTGGCT